TTGCCGGTGCATTGCACATACCGATAAGCGTACGGACAAATTCATGTAGTCCCTGATGTGTCGCAAATGCAGACTTGGCTACGAAGGGTCTAGTCCAATCTGTGAATATCCAGCTGCAAGATCTAGAGTGGAGAAGAATCTGGCTCCAGACAGGGTGTCTAGGATGTCATCGATACGTGGGAGCGGAGAAACATCTTTCGTGGTCACACTGTTTAGCTTGCGGTAGTCGATGGAACCGCACGTTACTACGCAATTTTATACGGCGCTCGCATTGCGCGTGTCATTGTTTCGACACCGTAGTAACACGCCACGCGCAATAATCTCAAAACCGGTTAGTGGCAACTACAAGACAGATACAAGACTATAGTGACAGTAACCATACACATGTTAACTCACCTCACCATGTATATGGATTAGCCCCCCAGTCCCACCACATGTCACCTACACGTTCATCCCTTAGCATGGGTGGAGCCCGTTGGGGATGTTGGGCAAAGGACTGGGACCTGTCGAGCGGGGGGCATGTCAGGGGTACTTCCCTCTTGGAGGTGGAGCAGTCCCGATCACACCCCGGAAGAGGGGTGGAGAGAAAAAGAAAAAGAAAAAGCAACGGCACGAGAGCCCGATCTTATGCCAACGGCTGGATCTGGCAGCAACGGCGACCACACGGTTGGTCATCCCAAATGCACGCCCGCCTCCGCAGCCGAGACAGTGCATGCTCCCAGCTCCCGCGCCGGGCGCTGCCGGTTCACTCATTAACCTCGGTTAATTTACCATTAACCGTCACTTAACTCACCTCACCATGTATGTCGATTAGCCCCCCAGTCCCACCCCAGGTCACCTACACGTTCATCCCTTAGCATGGGTGGAGCCCATAGGGGATGTTGGGCAAAGGACTGGGACCCGTCGAGCGGGGGGGGTGTCAGGGGTATTTCCCTCTTGGAGGTGGAGCCGCCTCATTAGGCTCCACCCCTGCCCAAGGAGTGGGAGGAGGTACGACCTCCCACACCCCCTCAACAAATTAATTAGCAAATGGGAGCACAGACAATGGCTCCGACGGAGTGTTCGCTACAGTCCACACATCCGACAACGGGTTAGAGCACTCCGCCGGGGGAACTCGGATGTAACGCAGGAAAACTTCGCTGGAGCAGCGGCCGATGGCTTGTATTACAGAGTCCGGGATTCGTGCTTCGGAAGCGGCGCCGATCCTGCAGCTATGCCCGGAGTACCCGCGATGGGTATCTCCTGCCCGGGCCGGCCAACTGAACGCTTGACTAAACAAAGCGTGACTGGATCGCCAGCCGGTGAACCGCCCCTGGGGGAGCGGCGACGTACGAGCGCCCGGCTTTGAACGAGCAGAGCTCATCGTGGGTGCCACCGACGGACACCTCCGCGCTTCGGCCATTGATCATCTTCGATTGCTTGAGGAAGACGCGTAGGACCTGGTTGTCCCCTATAATCGACACGTCGCCCCAAGCCAGGTACACTACTGGGTCAAAGGCTGGCGTGTTAGGGTTCGCTTGCGCGCAAAAGCCGAACAATATTGGCGAGCCAGATGCGGACCAAGTGCTCCTCATAGCTCCCCGACGGGGGGCATAGCCGCCGGAGAAGGGGCGGGGTGATCGGGAGGCTGGGCTGGGGCCTGGACTAGCGCACTCCCCGTTCTGCACCCGTAACAGGGACGACAACTCCCGCGGTTCTGGGTGTCCCCGATAAATTGGGTGTGCCGGTCAGCAGCCACATCCGGGCTTCGAACACGGTGAAAGGGGCACCGCCCCCAAAAGGCAAAGCACAGCAGAATGACAGGCAGCTGTCCGATTCTCCCTCCCGAACAGGTGTACGGCTTCGCTTCTACCTCGAAATCAAACCAAGAGGCAGCGGTCACATGCATCCTGGCAGCAAGGGCCGTCCGCCTGCATCTGCGGGCATGAGTAATCCACGTGCTCCTTTGACGTGATTTTCTTTACGAGCTTTTGCCGGACAGAACCAAAGGCCAGTAAAGCATTCCAGATCCTCCGAGAACCCGTCTTTGTCGGCCACGGTTGCTACAGCCGAGGGCCACAGCGAGTGGGCCATCGAGCTTATAGGATCTCTGCTGCCGGCAACGAGGCAGCTGCCAAGCCCGGGAAAGGCATCGTTAGGCGTGGCACCCGGCCACCCGTGCCGTCAGCCACCGAGGCCGACAAAGCGATACCCCTTCCGTAGATGTCGACAGCGCAGAGCATACTGGTGTTCGAGCCGGCTACGGTCTACCTACATGCTGGATACACCTGCCGTAGGTGTCGACAGCCCATCACCTCCATTCCTCCACCTTCCTCGATAGGTAGTTGCTGATACCGCCAGGCAGCGCCTTGCCGACTACCTATTGCTCTGTGCAGTGGAGAGTGCTGCCGTGGGCGAAACCGACATGGAAGCCATGCCGAGGTCTCCCATTACCTATTGCACGAAGGTCCTGTCGGGGTGTATGGCAATCGGGAAGTGCGGGTGTTTGCCTGTCCCACTGATTGTTTGATTCCTCAGCAGCACTATTCTGCGGTCCCCATGCGGGGGCATGATCAGTAGCTAAGCTGCTGCGCTAAAATGTCTTCCGCAGACAGGCCGGGTTCCAGGCCGACAGGGGCGAGGATGGCTCGCGGGTTTTGGGGGCTGCTGGCTGGTTGCCGGATGCAGGCGGGCTGCCGGTGCCTATAATCCCACTCTGCTGCCGATTGGGGGCGCCTGCACTTCGCGTACTGGTGTGCATATCGATATTAGGGTAATGGACACCTCAAGCCCCCAGGAGAATTGAACAGATCTCGGTGGCCCAGGCCGCCTGGGTGTGGCTCTACGGGGGCTGGTAAACACACATGCGTATCGGCCAGGCCAGGCAACACTTGCGCCTCAGCAACTGCCCAGCCATGCCAGCAAACGCCTTGTTGTAAAAGGGGGCGGGTCGGCGAAGCCCCAGTCGCCACGATTGCCAGGTTGGCGACAAAGCGCTATGCCGTAAGACACCCAGCCAGGCAGAGCTCTCAAAGGCTTTATGATGGTCCCTCGGCAGGTGAAGCCATGTAGGGGCTTTCTCTCAGGCCGACGCGATCGCGTGAGGATAGCCGCCATCGTGGCGAAGCACCCTGTTACGCCAGGACTCGGGCAGGAGTAATCCACATCGACACGATTTTCTTAGCCGGACAGAGCCGAAACCAGGAAGGCGTGCCAGATCCTCCAAGCACCCGTTTTTGACGGCCACAGTTGCTACTGGCGAGGGCCACGCCTGGTGGGCCGTCCAGCTTATAGGGTCTCCGCTGCCGGCGGAGGCCATCGGGCAACGTAGCAGCTGCCGAGCCTGGGGTATCGTTAGGCGTGGCATCGAGCAGTGGACCCGGCCACCTGTGTCATCCCGGCTAAAATAATGCGTGTAAAAGCAAACAGACAGCAACGGTTGCGAAATATCGCGCTTTTACGCACTCAAGCGGGAAGTCACGCCAATTTACGCAGACTTAGTGTTCGCACGTAGTAACGCGCGACGGCGTGCTCCACCCGCAATCGCCGGCGTACACTCTACGCTCGCGGTATTTCGCGAAGTTGTTTCAGCAAACGCTCGTTCGCGCATAACCGCGTACTGACACACCCATGTTTGTGCGGAACAGCGCTCTAGAGTGTAAATACTTAGGGGTGCGACCGCGCTTGTTTACGCTTAACCGCGTAATGACACGCCCACAGCGTGCGTAATAGCGTGTGGCACGCACAGTAAACCACCGCGCGCCTATACGTGAGTTTGCGCGCTTTGTTTTACACGGGATGAGCCGACAAAGTGATACCCCTGCTGTGGGTGTCGACAGCGCAGAGCATCCTGGTGCTCGAGCTGGCTAGTCTACGTACCTAGGCCCGGGGTGGATATATAGTCCAGTGGTGTGTTCAGCAAATCAGGCAGGGGGGCCACAATTCCACAGCAACACCATGTATGCATATGCTCGCACAAAAATTAGTACCTGGTTATGTGCATATGTCCTTTGAACTCCTTCGTCATTAACTGAAAGCGTCGCCTCGTCGTTCGCGAAAGTCTTGATTGACTTGTGAGGCTGCTAGCAGCCTGTAGCGAGAAATACACGGATTGAAAAGGTAATGATGGCTGCGTGTGTTGTCTATACTTTTGCTAAATACAGTAGCGCACACTGCCCGTTATAATTATATGCAGAGCGGAAGCCAGGGGGAGGGGGTGGTGCTCAAGCACCATAAGCACCCCCCTGGACATGCCACTGCCACCTGCCGTAGGTGTCGACAGCGCAGAGCATCCCGGTGCTCGAGGCGGTTACGTGCTAGGCCCTGGGTGGACACACCTGTCGTAGGTGTGGACAGCCAAGAGCAACTCGGTGCTCGAGCCGGCTTGTCTACAGGGTAGGACCCCAATCTATCAGAATACGCATACCCGATCTTATGCCAACAGTTTGATCTGGCAGCAATGGCGACCACGCGGTTGGTCATCCCAAATGCACGCCCGCCTCTGCAGCCGAGACAGCGCATGCTCCCAGCTCCCGCGCCGGGCGCTGCCGGTTCATCTACCATTAACCAGCATATAACAGTAATTTTACATCTCTGACAGCTCCTCAGTTTGGGTTGGTACTGTATGGTGTCCTGTCTAAGACTTCAATGTTCGCTCCACCAGTCCTACAATGCGGTGTTCCAGAGAATCCCTTCACCCTTCCTTGTCCCCACACTTTACACCACCAGGACCGAGCAATGTCAGCTTAAAATATGTACCCATCATCCATTACATACACTTATGTCATCCCTGTCTTGTTTCCTTGCTTTTTATGCCATCCCCATTATTATAATTCGAAGAATTTTTAATTGTACTTGTTACATTAGCCCCTAGGCTGGTGCCCTTTTATCTATAAAATGGCAGCAATCTAAAAGGCTTTAATTACTTCTTGTGTACAGGCAATAACCTTTAGTATGATTGTTTTACTATTACAAGTAATAGCGTACTTGTGATACCCACACACACCATACTACTTGGATACCTTGTGCTTTTGGTATAAATCGGCTCGTTTAAACCTCCTTGGCGGTCTATCATGAAACACCGTAACACTGAAGATGTTAAGAAGAAAGTAGACTGACTGATGCAGCATTTGATACATACCTGACACCAAGTCTTTCATCCAAATCTCTCTTCATGGCCACTGACACACAGATGATAGAGTGAGCAAACCGACTTAAAACCTCATCATACCTAATGATGCGCAAAGATCGATGAACGATACCAAAGACTGCAAACATGTTACATGAAATAAGTTAAATCTATAAACAGCAAAAACCCCATCATGTAAGTCCAACGTAATGGCAATTTCACCTGAAGGCTAGGTGGTGTGGACTTCGTTCTTAAGAGAGGTGCTCTACTCTATCCTGTGAAATACAGTGACACCACTGGAATAAATCCAGCTATTCTCCCATTCCAGCATTTAGAGGAGCCACGGCAGGGGCTGTCAACCTCATGCAGGCCACGTTACTAGAGCACTTTTTTACATCACCTCGCCAATTGGGTGCTAGGTCATGTGACAGACTGTTCTGTCTGGAGCACATGACCAGGGTTTGGGTAGGGGAGGCCCAGTTGGCAACCCGCAAGCTAGTGGGACACACCCTTGGGGGGGTATGCCCCCCCTAATGGTTACTCCACACAGGCAAACCCAGCTTGCAACAATGGAAACCATTGAAAGCCTAGGGGCAAGGAAGAGGTATCTGGACATCTCCAGTTTAGCCGAGGTGGGGAAGAGTGCCTATCACTAACAGAAATCTCAACATGACCAACACTTATCTCCCTTTCATCCTATGCAAGGGTAATAGCAGGTGGGGCCAAATCACGTTGGACAGGCAGACTAACCACTCACTCAAGTAACACAGGATGCATATGTGGGCATATGGGATCCAATCTTAGAGAGAACCGTAATAGCCATCCATGGTTGGTAAATAACCAATAGTCAGGCACTCAAAAAACAGAGCAGCAATACTCTGTTACTCACAACACAAGTGTTAAAGACGTACGGGGAGTTCCATCTCTAGAGCACCTGGATGGCAAAACGCCTAATAGCCTAACAGTCGGGCACTCACCAAAACAAAGCACGAAACTCATCATGAATTCGTTGCAGTGGTGAACTACTGATATTCCCACCCCACACAGACAGAGAGGAACATACCTGCTCGATGTCTTAAAACACCTGACTTTCATTGTCATACATCAGCAAGAAACTCCCACACAAAAGCAGACACCCTCAAGCGACACATCTAGTACCTCCCCACTAACGAAGAATACCACAATGCCTTGGCACCAGAGAAAGACAACTCTATTGACACAGCACAAGCATCTCATCTTGGCAGCTATCACAACAACAGCAAAACAGAGCAAGTTCTTTCTAATCTTTGGGCATGAAGCAGTATACAGAAATTTGTAAACGTCAGCAGAGTAGTGTTGAAAGAACATGTCGTCCATGTTTTCACATGTCTCAACAACTTGGTAACGAGGTAGAAAGGCAAGGCAAGGCAAACAAGGTTCTTTCCTCATAGTTTGCTCATAGTCTAGTGTTGATTTGATGTGTATTGATTTGTTAATGGTTCCGCCAATTGCTCTGGGTGCGTAGTCGATGGCCTTTGTGCTATGGCTGCCACCCTAGTAATATTAACCCTTGGCACGCATGCACAGCGAGGGTTACAGTAGTCGTTCTTTCCGTGTGTCTGTGTGTTGACGCTTATTCTGGCACTACAGGCTACGAGGCAGCCTATCAGCGATACCAACTGCTGCAGAACTACTTGAGCCTGAAAAATAAAAGAGCGATTTTGCTGAAACGACTGTGTTCAAGAGCGAGAAACTGGCCCGGTCGTGGACCGAGTTTTGTGGCCCAGCCCATCAATTAGCTGTGTGCATGCGTATAATTATTATACGCGTTCGAAATGCACGGCACGGCTGACCTCGACCGGGTCCGCTCGCTCTGTGTATCTTGAAGGCACAAGAAGTCACAACGAAGGGCATGTATCGACTCCCGGATGTTATCTACTACTGTAGCTAGCCCGTGCCAGACTCTCCGCGAGCTACCAGCGGGAGAAACACATACTGATAACCCAGCCCATCAATTAATTAGCGGTATGGCGCATGCGCAGTTCGCCGAGGGTTTGCACTTTAGTGCTTTTCATTATTCCTCATAGTTTGAATTCAAATTTATTAACACATTTTCTCATTTTGTGATGGTAGAGCTGTCCTGTTTTTAACAATTAAACCATCCAAAACAATCAAACCAGGTAATACACTTATCCCTAAATTTTCTGCGAACTTCTCACTTTTAGGCAGTGGTATTTGCAATAAATACTCCCATTTTATGGACGTGGATTTCCACAATTGTTGCATCAGCAGGTTAATTGCTATTTGGAGAATTAACCGAAGTTTGATAACAGGAATTTAAACTCTGAAGCTATATGGTTTTTAGGTGATAGTTACACCAACAGTGATTCTCTAGCATTGGCTACAGCCTTCTTAATTCACATCATATTATGACCAAATCAATCTCATAGCAAAAGAATGTTATGTGACTTCATAGTGCTAGGGGTTGTCTTTATAGCTTATGACCAAGCTGGAAAAACACACCGACATTGCTCTATGAATTAACGAATCTAGTGATGAAAGGGTTGGGAAGCTTTTGTAGTTGTTCTGTAGACACGTAAGTCACTTGTACTCGGCATACATCACCGTCCAAAACATATTTTGCACGGAGACTGAGTTGTTTAATTCATTCCATGCAGTTGCATATTGTAAAAGTAGTGTTCCGCATAAGATAAGTAAGATGCAAAACAGGAAGGTTCGTGATTTATCCGTTCGATTGTCGTATCTGTAATTTTTTAACTCCATGGGTTGAATGCTACTATGCCAAGGAAAACATGTTTCGAACTTTTAGGCTTTGCTTTAATGCAAAGGAGTTTGGGCCCCATACCTTTCTATGAGAGTGAAAATAGGAGTCGTGCATACATTCGCACATACGGGCGCAATTGCAGTGTGCTAGTTCTACAGTGTTACTTTGATAACTTGTTTGGAGAAAAAAAATGTTTACATGTCCTGTTCCATGTTCAGGCATGTCAGCTACAACTACATGAAACAGGAAATATAAATTTTGGGCCTCCCAACAACGTTGTAACACTAACACCGTACAAAACATCACTGCAGCAACATGCTCACGAGTGTGTTGGTATGTGTAAGCGTACTTGATCAAGAAATTGCCATAGTTGAAAAATATTTCAACAACGAACGGAGGACAAATAAAAGTACTTAGAGCAAACATACCTACGAGATATCCCCACAAGTGGGTGTCTGCTTCCAAGTGTTAGAGCAAGAAGTGTGTGCCCATAGTTATGAAAATCAACAATGAGTCTTGAGTTTCGTAAACAGCACACAAGCACACACACAAATAATGTAGGAATAGATGGAGGTACCTGTGAATATGAATGGGAATAAACAGTTAAAAATGAATGACCCAATGTATATTCACCTAATGCGCAAACTGTCAATGCGGAACAAGAGGACTGGTGTTATGCGCACAATACGTATGCGAATAAAGCACTGCTAATTGATGGACTGGGCCATGCAACATAGTTTAACCATCGATCGGGCCAGTGACACAGGCTAGCTACGTCAGTGGAACAACACTGAACTGGAAACACAAGAAACGCTAAACTGTATATACAGACCCTAATCCTTTCATCAATCTGACTGTGTTACTGCTACACTTGGCTAAGGGAATGTCAATAGAATTGCATAAATTAATGCTCTAGGCTCCTGACTGGAGTATATGTACCTTCACCCCATTTTAAAAACCGGCCACATTGCTGCCACCATCGTAACATTGCCAACAGAAGCTCAACATCTCCAGGTTAAGTCTCAGTATCTTCAGTATCATGCACAACTGCTACTATTGTATCTGCTGTTACGTATATCAGGACGGTGGTAGAGCCCAATCAATTTTTCATGACTAACAGTAGTACAGAGTATAGAGGGATGACACAGATTGCATTATGCCCATAGATTTGAGATTTGTACGTTTCACTTTCAGTTTAAATCATACTCAGCAGCAGCTAAGCAGTAAAAACACTGAATTACTGACTGATGACAAAGAAATTCATGGTGATTCCACAACTCTGTGTGACGGTCATTAGTGAGCCAGCAGAAGTTAAGTGGAAACAATATGTGATGAATAACACCAGTGGACATTGCTAGTGATTGATTCTATCTTACACATGTAACTGGCAACTTATGAGCTGTTAAGTCTACGAAGCTACACACTGCCTGTTTCTTGTTCCTCGCCTTCATAAATGGAGACCGGCTTCAGCAAGCTCTGTTTGCTGCCAGTCGTCGCTTACATGCTTCCAGATTTGCAGGAGCGTGACGAACCCCTGCTTAATGTTCAGTCCCTTCCATGTGCAGTGGTGTGTACCACTGCATAAGCACTGGGACTGGTGAAAATCTTATTACTAGTAGGCGAATGGCAAGCGGGAGCGAGCACACAATGGCTGTATCTGCACGAGTCATCCTAGCCTATTTACAACTTGCCAAATATCAAAAGGCTTCGTTCGAAGTGGAAATCTGCCATAAACGATACAAATGCACCCTTCTGGCAAAGAAATGCAGCACAAAAGAGTGTAAATGCACCAAATTGCATTCAATGCTGCAAACTTCCTAGTTTGTGTTTCGGTAGCAAGTGTGTTATTCGGGAAACCCACTGAATCGGGGATAATATTTGGATTATAGGTGGTATGAGATGGATTCTGAGGCAATCTGAGAGATAAAATAGTGATTACACACCTGTTTATTATTGATGTTGACAAACAGGTAAAATTTCGTTGTGAGATCTTTTAGTATGGTATGTGGAGGGTGCCTTTACCTAATGGTCGCATTTTGTTATCACTGTGGCCAATACCATAGCAGACAAAACACTAGTATACTCTCTTAGTACTATACTAGTCCTATGCACAGCACATCATGTATGTAGGTGTAAAATATGTGTTACAGTATACCAGAGAGTGAGAGATGCAGAAGCTCACATGACGCAACATGTGCTCTAGCCTGAACTCATTAGTGCATGTTTTGACCTAATTCTGTATGCAACCCTGCTCAGAATTAAGAACTCACAATCACTATGTTGTTCAGAGTGGTTGAAATTCCTTCACCTTACTCATAGTTATACTGAAAAGCACTGACGTGCAAATCGTCAGCACACTGCGCATGCGCGATACAGCTAATTGATGGGCTGGGCTATCAGTAAGCAGTTACTCATGGTTGCTCCACGCTAGTAGCTCACGGAGAGTCTGACATGGGCTAGCTACACTTGTAGATAGCATGCGGGAGTCAACACACACCCTTCGTTGTGCCTCCCTGCGTCTCCAAGGTATGCAGATCAAGCGGATCAGTTCGAGGTAAGCCCAGTGCGATTATGCATTATTGGCTTTTTCGCTTGTTTTCACAGCACATCTCTCGAACACAGTTGTTTCAGGAAAATCGCCGTTTTTTTTTCTCACATGGTTCTGAAGCCATTGTTATCTCTTATAGGCCGCCTCGTTGCCTGTAGTGCCAGTCGACAAACGGACAGAAAGACTAACTACTGTAACCCACGCTGCGCATGCGCACTGAGGGTTAATAAAAGTTCTCATGTGAGAAAGTAAAAAAGGACATAAAGTAATACGTCAGTGTATGTAGCTATAATGCATAGAACAATTTCACATAATTTTGAGGTTCCACTTGCAACTTCTAAACTAGGGAACAGAACAGAGAGCTATGCACTAGCACAGTAGTAGTTAGGGACCTTCATATATAGATAACAGGCAATAAATACCTGCAAAATAACATTGGATGACTTCTGTGCTCTTTGTAACATCACCCATAATAGACTGCATGTTTGGAAAGTAACTTTTAAAAAATACTTCAGTGTTGACGGTTGACCTATAAAGAAAAATGCACTGGTTTCACAGCCAACCTTTTTTACAGAGCAAAACTTTACACTACACAAGTGCAACAAAAGTACGTAAAAATTAAAGCTTAATGATTGGTGAATAAGCCTCCGGAAACTTCAAATAACAGACAGGAAAATATTACTCTAAATCTTGCACATGCACAGTGTTTGCAGAGTTCTCGACTGTTGGTGAAGGTTCCGGACAAGATCGTCCTCGGCGTGTTTCCTGCTCTTCTCATTCAACTTTCCAGAGAGAAAGTACACTCACTTGGAGTTTGGAATTGCACCCAAGCATTGCCAAAGCTCAAGTAAGACACTTTTTACATGGAAACTAAAACATTAGAGAGCCTCATTTGAGCACCTACAGGAAGGCCCCCACCAAACGACCTTGAGCGTGCTCTGCCAGAAGGAATGGATGGATCAGGGATATTTATTCATTTCAAGCAAGCCGACCAGTAAACCCTACTGGTAATATTAGCCCTCCTAGACCACATCATAATGCAAGATGATGCCTATGGGTATGAAGTTAATGCAATTCAAGGCCCTTGATAGAAACGAGAATAGAAAGAAAAGCTCACAAGCCACCCGTGATCTCACTGAGATCCTACTAGACAGCCTACAAAGATGGCAAAAAAGAGAGAAAACACAAGCTTCCTTTCCTTTCGACAACAGTGGCCATAAACAGATTACATGAACAAGTGTAAGCAAATTTAGCCGTGAAAAGCTGATTGCAGACTGGGTGAGACTGCATAATTGCCAGGCACAATGTGGCTGTCGCACATTATCGACGCATACTTACCCATAAACCATAAACTAAACATACCGGCAAACACAGGACCTCTAGCAAGTTCATGTTTCACTAAATTACTACCACTGAGTTCGGGTAGTAACTGTGACCCTAGCAAAAAAGAAGAGTCTTAATAAATCACACATTCATACATTATCTAATCCATACCGGCTTATACGTGTTTCACGGTGTGGTTTTTACTTTCGCGCTTATGTGGTTCGAATCCACTATAGTTTTTGTAAGCATACATCCAACCACATGATAAGTAGAACATGCACCATGCTTTGGTGTGAATTATATAGGTTGGTGAGCACGAACGTCAACTAGCTTTGGACAACATACAGCCAAAAGCAAAATATGAAGAGAGTGGAGCTTGATAGCTAAGTCACATCCTATTGTGCTACATGGAAACGCAAACAATAAGGAGCTCCGCCCTACAAATTATTGTGTGCTCTGTCCCCTGGACTGTACCTTCTTTACCATAGTCTAATACGGAATTTGTTCATATCAATAACTATGGTAGTATACAGGGGTGGATTAGGGAAAAGATATGTACTTACTGCATGTGTAGTTGTGTGCATGCACCAAATACTCCAGATATTTTACGGTACAATACACCGTCAAAACACCACCGAGTTTCCAGTACACAGAGTGTATGAGGTTCAGGGTTTTTTTACTTGCAAAGTAACCCTGCTTCCACGATCAATAATTGTCTTTACGTCCTTGGAGGCCAGTAGCGGGGCTAAAAGGTGAAGCAGTAGCATAGCCAGCTGGGGTAACTGGATTCCAAGATTATGGGGAATTTTTTGCACATTAGGTCACATAACAGGTAACTATGATACACATCAGCTTTACCCACATAAATCACAGTAATGGCTACAAGAACCTTTACGACCATGCAAAACTACTGAAATACCTCAGCGAGAGACATAAGGTAAGTAACTAAAAAAAGAGTTAGGAGACTGAGGAACAAAAGCAGGCCAGGTTCCTGCTATTTGTGCCAAGAAAGACAACACACCTTTTTCCTGACATTATGGGGAACATTCAATTTAACACACTTTTGGCATCATTACATAATAATCACTTCTTCACTTCTCAAAGTTACAAAGCAGTAGCACCTATGAAGATGATTGGCATATCACTAAGTACAATAGTACATAGTTTATAGGGATGGGCATGGTACCTAGATGCATGGGTTTTGTTCATCTTCATCATCATCTTCTTCTTCAAGACGAAAGGACGTATAGACATGAAACTTTGTAGGAACAAATGTCTGTAATGCGAAGAGACTGTGGGTACTTATTTGTTTGTAAACAACAACAAACATTTCCCCAGGCAATACATTATAATTGGCATACATATGTCAGTGTAACTCACAAGTGGTAAGAGCTATGGCTACGAAAGTTTGTATCACACATAATGTCATAACAATACATGTTTGTCTTTATTCTTGACTCCTCAAACTTGTTAATGGTAGCACGCATGGAGATGAAACTTCGTACGCATGCATATTACATCATTTCCACGACGACCACATAAACGAATAGCCTCAGGCACTTTTTTTTATAATTACTTCTTCACAGCTCAAACTCGCCAACGGTACCACACATGGTGATGAAATTTGGAACATAGGTGTATTACATCATCTCCATGACCACCTGATATTGTTTCAACAACAAATAGCCTCAGGCACTTTTCTGTATTATAAAAATGAGTGGACACAAGTAAATTAAAAATCCTACGAATTATAACAAAGAGGCTTATAGGGATGGTATAAAAAGAAAGGGAGACAAGATAGGGATGGGATACATCAAACATGGTTAACGAACAGATTTGAGCACACTGAAACCCCTGACCCCATCACAAAATCCCTATATTGTTGCCTAGGTGAAGTATTAAACATTAATCATTACAATAGTCAGGACCTATAGCTTGAAAATACAACTATTGAGAATCCAAATGGGTGGCACACCAGGCAACAATGTAGGGATTGTGTGATGGGGTCAGGGGTTTCTCTTCATGCATCCCATCCCTATCTTGTCTCCGTTTCCCTTTATACCATCCCTATACGCCTCTTTTTGAAAATTCGCAGGATTTTTAAGTTACATCATTACAATTAGGTTTCAAACAGCCTGCAGAACTTTTCCTTCCTCACCTCCTCAAACATTTGAACGGTAGCACGCATGGAGATAACCCTTGGAAGCACAATCTTCCCATCATAATATTTACTTGATTGAATGAAAAACTAGCCCACTTCAACTTATACCCTCACCCACACTCTCCCTAATGCTTTCCGAAATGTTTTCACCTCTGCCCTAATTCCCTTACAAAAAGCCAGGCTTTAGTATATTTCAAAAGCTCCCATACCTCTCTTCTTATGCTCACTAATCTTTGGATTAACAACTGACAGATTTAACTTCACAGACACACCAGCTGAACACTCATCATCACAATGAGCAAATTGAGATAACACATGGAACACCAATATTTACAGCCTCATTTAGCATACATAGCTGCTTTCATGTAACGCCCATCTACATCTACAATTTTTGGGCTGAAATTAGGAGCGAGGAACCAGCCATAGATAAATTAGCGACACATTCCCCAGCCATACAGGAAAACCACACCATTCGTTTGGGTAAAGAGAGCTACATACATCAGAGAAAACAGACTCACCACGGAAGCACCGACCATGAAACTTACGCTGTTGTTTTATAACCCTGTAGATATAGCAGTGCACAATACAAACTTCAGCTTTTAACCTTCAGGTACCAAGGGATAATTGTACATTTACATGATGATACAATTATGGTACATGTGGACTAAGCAGTTATTACTATCGCATAAATATCCAATGAAGCAGCAGAAATACAAGTCTGTTTTGGAAACAGCAAACTTGAATATGTAAGCACACTTGCATTCTGCAACTTGGGTAGCTTTTCGGTTTCGCCAAAAAAAAAACACGTCCAAAAATTCGTAGCATACAATTGTTGCTGGCTAACTCTAACTTTTAGCAGAGTACAAAACAATACAAAGATCGTGGCGCTTTATCTCCCATTCTAGTGCTTTTCCAGACATTATGGCCACAAAACATGATTCCTCATTACTCATAAGGCTGGATGCAGGAGGGTGGCCACCAGAAGACGTAGCAAACAGTGAAGCAGAGCAATTAGTCTGATATGTCGTCCTTATGCTGTGCACTTTGTGTACGTACATCGACTGCTATAAATTTGAAAAGTACGATGGTTTTCCTTCACAGTAGTCCTATCAGGCATTACAGTGTCACATAACACACCTCCATATCCAACGAATTCCACTGAATACCCGGCTTTCAAAAGAGACAGACAGTGATACTGCATGCGGGGTGACCTCCCCATGTCCCCGAGTACGACCACAAGTACCCGTCCTTCTCCACGTTCACACCGCCATCTCAACAGTAATAGGAGGATCAAAAAGGTAGTTAACGAAATTAAAAAAACTCCAAGCATCACTCCGGCAGTTCACTAAGGCAAGGGACATGCGCCACCCCGCAGGTATATACAGCGGTCCGCGAACGCACATGTGACCCACGCATTGTATGTATATACGTACGTGCGACTAAGTCTCGTGCGCGCGCGTATGGACTACGTTCAAGACACGTAAACGTACGTTGGAGACACATGTTATATACGTAAGGGGATGTTTCAAACGTACGTGTGGGTCAGTCACGTGCTAAACATCACGCCGTATGTGACTATCATGTGAGAGAGTGTCGTAAGCTCGATCATGATCAGAGAACATGGCTCGTGCCCAGATCCCGCCCTCAAGGAGAGGAAAAGCGTCTGGTGGTTGTGCTGACTCATCATTGTCGAGCGCATGCGCAGAAAAGCCCGTTTTCGTTCGTCGTGCGTGGACACGCGGAATCCACGGATACGCGTACGTCATCGTATGAACGTACGTTTGTACCTACGTCCGTATGAAGGTACGTTTTGTTTTTTTTTCGGATTTAGACCCCGACCCAGGCACATTCAATACAATAATAAATAAATAACGGAAACTAACGTACGTCCGTATGAACGTACGTTTTAGACGCACGTATGTGTCTCCAACGTACGTTTACGTGTCTTCAACGTGCCTTACACTTAGCTTGCCATACGCGCGCCCACGAAGAAGCGTTTAGTTAACCCTCGGCGCGCATGCGCAGCGAGGGTTACGTTACTTGGGTCTGTGTGTCTGTGTATCTGTGTGTCTGTTACTATCGATCTCACTTCTCGGGTGTTCGTTCGTCTCACAAAGGATACCACCTACTGAACGGGCAATGAAGGTCAGAAATTTGGAACGGTTTTCTCTGAAAACGCTCCGTTGCAAAGCTAGAGCGCGAAAAAGCCAATATGCAAATACTCAACGGCTTACTGCGGCATGGCATGACCGACCCGCGTGCTCTGCGTACCTCGGAGGCACCAGAAGATGCAACGCATGGGCGTGTATCGCCTCTCGCACGCTATTTAGTAGTGTAGTTAGCCCGCGTCAGACTCTGCGCGAGCTGGCAAGAGACCACGAATATATGTAACAGCTAAAGCTAAACCCAGCAGTGGTACGGCGCATGCGTTTACTTACGCGTGCGCGTCACAGTTCGCACTTCAATGCTTTTCATTAACCCTCGGCGCGCATGCGCAGCGAGGGTTACGGTAGTTGGGTTTGTGTGTCTGTCTGTTACTCTCAATCTCACTTCTCGGATGTCTGTTCGTCTCACAAACGATGCGACGTACTCAACGGGCAACGAAGGTTAGAAATTATGAGCGGTTTTCTCTGAAAAATGCTCCGTTGTAGAGCTACAGCGCTTCCAGCGTTGTACGGCTAATGCGTAGTCGGCCATTTTTATCGCTGCGGAAAATGCGCATGCGGTTATATGCTAATTAGCACAAGCTTCGACCGGGCCGCTTGCTCTGTGTATCTTGAAGGCATAAGAAGTCACAACGAAGGGCGTGTATCGACTCCCGCATGCTATTTACTATATACTGTAGCTAGTCCGTGTCAGACTCTCCGCGAGCTACTAGCGTGGATACCACGAGTAAACGCATACTAAAAGCCCTGCCCATTATTAGTGGTACCGCGCGTGCGCAGTTCGCCGAGGATTTGCACTTCAGTGCTTTTCATTAATTAACCCTCGGCGCGCATGCGCAGCGAGGGTTACTGTAGTTGGGTTTGTCTGTCTGTTACTCTCAATCTCACTTCTCGAGTGTTTGTTCGTCTCACAAAGGATATGATCTACATAACGGGCAATGAAGGTCAGAAATTTCGAACGGTTTTCTCTGAAAGTGCTCCGTTGCAAAGCTAGAGCGCTTCCAGCATTGTATGGCTAATGCCGGTAGTCGCCATTTTATCGCTGGTTGATAATGCGCATGCGCTTATATTTAGCACAGGCTTACCTCGACCGGATCCGCTTGCTCTGTCTATCTTGAAGGCACAAGAAGTCATAACGAATGGCGTGTATCGACTCTCGCGTGCTATCTACTACTGTAGCTAGCCCGTGTCAGACTCTCTGCGAGCTACTTCGCCGAGGGTCTGCACTTTAGTGCTTTTCATTGGGTTTGTCTGTCTGTGTGTCTGTCTGTTACTCTCAATCTCACTTCTCGAGTGTTTGTTTGTCTCACAAAGGATACGACCTACTTAACGGGCAATGAAGGTCAGAATTTTCGAACGGTTTTCTCTGAAAATGCTCCGTTGCAAAGCTAGAGCGCTTCCAGCATTGTACGGCAAATGCCGGTAGTCGCCATTTTATCGCTGGCGGTTAATGCGCATGCGCTTATATTTAGCACAGGCTTACCTCGACCGTTAACAAACTCATCCACTTGTCTTTGAAATACTGGTGCAAATGAGTAATGAAGGGCACCACTGCAAGTCGGAAAAGTACTATAATATACGATGATTGTAAGATGCACCTAATACTAGCTATATGTGCTAATGTATATCCTTTGCAAACACTTGGTGAGGATAAGTTTGAGAAGTGCCCTTCAACCTGCAAGTCCCGTGTCCACAAGTTTGGATGCGTTTAGAGCTATACTTTAAAAATGATATCCACCACTCCTATGCCTTTGGCACAGCTGAATCCAACATGCTTCGATTTATATACTGATAACCAAACTATAGTTGAGACCTGATTCATGTTGAATGTCCATATATAATGGCTTTTGAAAAGTGTCCGTGTGTTCATGACGGGAGCATTGGCCGAATAATGGCCGGCAAACTGTTTTCAGTCCCAGCATCAGGATTTGTGGGCAGCCCAAAAACACAGGTAATGTGTGAAGGATTACGCTGGCCACTAAATGTGAAGGATTATGCCCGAGCAGTCGGCGCTTGTTGCTCCTTACTTGATTCTCTTCGCTAAAATATATCATCTCATGAACTGTGCGAATGCATAGATTTTATATAGGGATGATACACAAAAGGAAAAAAAGATCTAGAAGCAGAAGGGATTATGAAGGTGGGTGACAGAAATATTAAGGTGGGTGACACAAGTGTGAAGGGTGATCAAAAGTGAGCAGAAGAAAAGACAGGCTCGACAAAACAGTGACTACAGAAAGAGCAGTACTAAATAAACCTCGCAGCTAACTATAAATACATCAACTCAAAATAACCCTATAGCGATCTAATACTACAAATATCCAATTACCAGTATTATACCCCAGTCCTCCACACTCCACCACCCTTCTCCAGCGACCGACTACTCTGTCGTGCCAATTGCTCTGCAGGATAGTCCGTCAGCATTTCCATTCTCTCTTCCTGCGCGGTGCAGCACTGTGAAGTTGTACGGTTGTAGAGCTAGACTCCACCTTACCAGTGTCGGATTGCCGTCCTTCAGGCGGTGAAGCCACTCCAATGATCGATGGTCCGAGGTTCTCCCGAGGATGTATACCCGAAAGGCTTGAATAGCAACTTTTGATAGTCAAACATTCTTTTTCGACCGTGGAGTAATAGCTTCTGGCTGTAGTAGCATACTGGATGTTCGCTGCCGTCAGGGCTTAGTACAGCGCCAATTCCTTGATCCATTCGACCCTCATCGGCGCATCTTTCTTCGTATCATACGTTAGTGGTAGTGCTGTCGTCGAATAGTTTGGTATCAATTTACGGTAATACCCCGTTAGCCCTAGAAACCTAGCGTACCTTCTTTTTTCTTTTGGAAGCAGGAAGTTGCCAACTGTGTCGATGTTTTCTTGTTCCGGACGTACTTCCCCGTTTCCGACTATGTGTCCCAGATACACGCACTGCTGCTGGCATTTGGCGGTCAACCCAGCTTCCCTTAGTCGATTAAATATCGATTTCAGATGACTGCAGTGTTCCTCCCACGTAGCTACGGCTAAACACAACTAGGTCGTCGAGGTACACTTCAGCGTATTCCCTGATTCCTTTGAGCAGCACGTCCATCATACGCTGGAAAGTAGCTGGTGCTCCTTGGAGCCCAAATGGCATCACCGTAAATTGGTACAAGCCAAAGGGCGTCGTAGAGGCCGTGCGGGAGCAGGCCTGAGGTGCAACTGGCACCTGCCAATAACCTTGGGTCAGGTCTAGTGCTGATGTATCTTGCGTCCCTGAGCCGGTCGATGAGGTCGTCGATCCTCGGCATTGGGTGGGTGTCTGCTTCAGACACGCTGTTCAATCGGCGATAGTCCACGCACATTCGCAAAGTACCGTCTTTATTGGGGACCAATACGATTGGTGACGCCCATTCGCTGGCCGATGGTTCAGTTATTCCGTCCTTCTCCATCTCGCCAAGTTCCTTTTGGACAGTCTCCCAATCTGTATGGGGTCTGTTTGACGGGCTTCGCAGATCCAGTCTCAATTTGGTGTTCCGTAAGTCTCGTCGTTCCTGGCTTGGTGTCAACGTCTTTAAAATCGCGGACGATACGCTCCATCTCTGATCGGCGGTCAACTGCGTGTTGATAACTGGGGTTAGGTAATTAACTTCACCCCTTTTCTCGGTAATAGTGAAAGGGCCTTGCCACTGAGCCCTCAGTTTGTGGGTGGACGTCGGCAACAGGACGAGTACGCGATCACCCGGGTTGAATTTTCGAGTGCGAGCCGTTCTGTCGTACCACTGCTTCTGGGTTAGTTAGAGAGGTTCTCCTGTACGATTTCCAACATTTCCGCCAGTCGATCCCTCATCTTGAGCATGTATGCAACTATATTCTCGTCGGTAGATGTTGGTTGTTCCCAGGATTCCCGAAGTACGTCTAAGGGTCCCCTCACTTCGCGATCATATAATAGTTCAAAGGGGGAGAAACCAGTAGACGCCTGGGGTGCCTCGCGGTAAAAGAAGAGGACGTAAGGTAATAGCTTGTCCCACAAAGACCTTCAGTGATCGTCATCTTCCTCACCATCGCCTTTAGTGTCTTGTTAAAGCGTTGAACCAGCCCATCCATCTGCGGGTGGTATGGGCTCGTGCGAATTGGTCTGATCCGGAGAAAAACTGTAGATCTCGGTTAAGAGCTGGGACATAAAATTCAGTCCCAGTGGAGGATCTCTTCCGGTATCTCCACTCTGGAAAAGATGCAGACCAGTTCCTCCGCTACATGTGCGGCGTCTGTTGACGACAGTGCCACGGCCTCTGGGTAGCGGGTGGCATAATCGCACACCATCAAAATAAAACGTTTTGCACTTGCATTCTTCGGTAGAGGGCCAACGATACCCATTGCGATACGCCGAAATGGTTCGCCAATTATCAGTAATGGGTTGAGTGGGGCCTTACTGGCAGAGCGGGCGGAGTCGAGCTGACATGCCTTGCAAGTACGGCAGAACTTCGCCACGTCGAATCGCCTTAGGACACGTTGGGCTGTGTTCGTTTTCCGTGTCCCCCCAGGTGGATATTGTGAGCGATGGCGAGTGCGGCGTCTCGACATTTCGCTAACTGGTGTACTGGACTGTGCTCGTTTTTGGGTCTCTTTGGCTCCCATGGACGGTAGAGGATATCGTTCTCGTAGTAGAAACCCTCTACCTCCGATAGGTCAGGATTCCCTTCGGCTACCATTCGAGCTGCCGCCAGGGTTGGGTCGTCCCGCTGAGCTACTATTAGATCGGTTGTCGTCATGTCCAGCGCCGCCCATTTGTTTTCGTCTTCCAGAGCTGTCTTCTCGTTGGCGAACCTGCGTCGTTCGATCCACTTCTGTGCTCGCGTCCTCCTTCAAAATGGTCGTTGGCGAAGACCTTTCCCCAGTCGTCGGAACTCAACTCGTCCGGTGGTGTTTCAGTTACACCTCCGGCAACTTGCTCGACTGCCTCCGACTCACTGCGGGCCTGCGCCCGAGAGGTAACTACTACAATCTGCTTGGTAGAAGTACTTGACTTCGGCTATCAGGCTCCACACTGTCGCTAGTACCTATCAAACTGAACAACTCCGGCACGTAACGCCCTAACAACAACTGAACCGGGAGTAAATCAGACACTCCAGCTTTCATGATAATCTTCTTGTCCTCGACCACCACCTCCAGCTCAGCGATCGAGTAGTGAACCACCTCACCATGTGCGCACCAGACACCGACCATCCTTCGGCACCAATTCTTCCGCACTAGTGTCCATGCGCTCCCCGTATCCAACAACACCTCTACCGGCACCCATTCTACCAATACCTGACGAACAACCCCCTCCCCGAGCTCAACCCTGGACGTCCTCTGAGTTGTCACAGAACATGGCATTTTCACGGCAGTTCGCAGCGATATGTCCTTTCTTTCCACAGGAATAACACTGTAATGGTCTGTTCATGGTATACTGTACTGCGGCTGCTGCGGGCGTCTCGACGGGCGTCGGTCCTGGGCGCGGGCGCCAGGGCGGGGGAGCTTGATTTGGTGCTCCGCTCTCCCTAGATTTCGTCGGGCAGTTATTGGCGAGGTACCCGACTTGCCACATGTATGGCACCACCGGGGGCCTAGCCCCTGTGGACGGCAAATTGGTATCGTTCCTCGCTAGTAGGAATTCGTCCGCCCAATACCCGGCTTCGGCACATGTCGTCGGCTTGTGCTCCCTCACCCAAACCCGGATGTCTTCCGAGGCTTTGGAGAGGAAATGTTCAATGGCAATCTTCTCCATGACGTCAGATTTTGATGAACAGTCTTCCAACCATCGGTTCGCAAGGTCGACCAGACTCGTAGCCAGCTCGGTGTACGATTCCCCTTTTCCCCGGGATCACTCACGAAACTTTCACTGGCGGGTCTCTTCACTTATGTCGTATCGCTTCATAATCGCTTGTTTCATGGCGGAGTATATAATCGCTAGCTTCGTCAGTGGCGAGGGCCATATAGGCTTTCTGGGCCCTCCCCGTCAGCTGGTCATAGACGTGTGGATCCCAACCAAGCGACTGTTGGCTGAAGATCCCACCACTGCCACTAAATGTGAAGGATTATGCCCGCTCCTTACTTGATTCTATTCACAAAAATATATCTTCTCACGAACTGCGCGAATGCATAGACTTTATAGAGGGATGATACACAAAAGAAAATTAAAGGAAGATTTAGAAGCAGAGGGGATTATGAAGGTGGGTGACAGGAATGTTAAGGTGGGTGACACAAGTGTAAAGGGTGATCAAAAGTGAGCAGAGGAAGAGACAGGGTGAAATCAGCAGACATGTATGCTTGACTAAATATATTGACTACAGAAATAGCAGTACTAAATAAAACCTAGCAACTCAAAATAACCCTATATACATCAACTCAACATAACCCTATAGCGATCTAATATCCAATTACCAGTCTTATACCCCAGTCCAGTGGCGTAGGAACAGGGGGGGCTACGGGGGCCAGGGCCCCCCTTTTCTGCTGTTCGTTCGTACCTTATCATCCATGCCTGAGGGCGAACGCTGCCGCGCCACCAGCGACCGCTTTTATGCGCACGTTCGTACTTACGTACGTACACGTAGCCTCGCGGGCGGGAGGCGCTCCGCGTCCGCGAGGGTATTGGCGCGTTGCGCGCCGACGAGCGAGCGAGGCACATGTCTTCCAAGCTAGAGACAGAACAAGCTGTCGCAATATTTTGATGTTACGACGCCAAGCCAAAGCGCTGAAGACTCAGCAGCTACAAGCACCTCTGGAGGAGATGCAGAGCACTCGTCCACATTGACGGAGACTGATTCCGAGAGGGAAGCCGAGGAGGAAGAGACAACGTCTTTGCGTCCCTCAGCCACTTTAGAGTCTCCACCAACATGCGAGTGCACGGCCTGTTCTGATCGAAATACTGCTCACCAACCAACAAATGTTGTGGAATCGAAAGTGAGTCGTGCTTATGCAAATAAAGAGACAGGCCATAAGAAAAAGCACTCCAGAGTGATTCAAACCAGTTGGTATAGATCTCACCCCTGGATCACTGTTTGCACCTCACGATTTAAGATTTTCTGTGTGAGCTGTCGGAGTGCTAATGACCAAGGCCTACTCACTTTTTCCAAGCGTTCTAATTTAGCCTTTGTTCAAGATGGGTTCAGTAACTGGAAGAAAGCCCTACAAAAATTTAAAGAGCATGAAGCCAGTACCATGCACAGAGAAGCCACTCTAAAGCTTGCATCCAAGTCCAGTGGTGTTAGGGTAGATGCACAGCTGTGTGCACAGCTTAATTGGACCAGGAACATCACAGGTGTATGTTTTTGAAGGTCCTCTATAGTATTCAGTTCTTATCTCGACAAGGCTTGCCACTTAGAGGACACAAAGAAGATGAAGAGCACTTTAGTGGCAATTTGTACCAATTATTGTTACTTCAGGCAAAAACATGTCCTGAATTGATCACCTGGCTGCGGCAGAAAAATTATATTTCCCCAGATATAGTTAATGACAGATTATGGGTCAATCTGTACTACGCAAGATATTGGGTGATATACGTACCTCTTTGTGGTACTCGATAATAGCAGATGAAGCTACAGACGTATGTCACCACGAACAGATGTCCCTATCAATTAGGTGGGTCGATCAAGATTATAATATCCACGAAGACACGCTTGGTCTAATCCAACTACCAAATACCAAAGCCGTGACAATTTTTTCTTCCATCAAAGATGTATTGATTAGATGCTCCCTTCCCATTAGTCAGTGCCGTGGTCAGGCCTTTGATGGAGCGTCCAACATGAGTGGCATTAAAAATGGGGTGCAGGCTCTGATTAAGAAAGAGGCAAATAAAGCCTTGTACGTTCACTGCCTTGCACATAGTTTAAATTTGTGCCTCAAAGATGTTGCCAAAACCTGCAGTTTAATCAGGGATATCATGAGCTTCATATATGAACTAACACAGCTAATCAAAATGTCCCCCAAGAGACTTACCTTGTTCGAGACTTTGAGAAAGGAAGTAACTATTTCCACTGGGGAATTGACACCGCGATTGCGAATGTTGTGTCCTACTCGTTGGACAGTAAGACATGCATCAATATCAAGCATACTGCGAAATTATGCAGTCATACAATCTGCTCTGGAAGAAATTGCCTGCGGTCACGATGAATATGCAGCAAAAGGAAGTGGAATGGTCTCAAAGATGGAAAATTTTGACACTTTCTTCGGCCTTAAACTAGCCTACCTCATATTCTCTGCAGCTGAGCAACTTGCAATAAACTTACAGGCAAAGGATACCACAGTGCAAGAGGCAGTCGGTGGAGGAAAACTTCTTGCTAGCCATTTTAAGTCTTTAAGGAATGAGGCCAAATTTGATCAGTTTTATGACCAAGTAGTAGCTGATTCTCGTGAATTGACGGCAGAACCTTCTCTTCCAAGAAAAAGGAAGGCACCAAGAAGGATTGATGATGGAGCAAGTCCACATGAGTACCAAAGTCCGAGAGAGAGACATCGTCACTTGTATTTTGAAGTAACAGAGTTAACCGCTGGTGAAGTTGAAAGGAGGTTTTTACAAGCTGATATTCAGCTTATTAGTGAAGTAGAAACAACCCTCTTGGAGTTTTCAAATGAAAGAATGACTGCATCACTTCCACCTTCATTGCAAATGTACATAAGTGAAGAGTTTGACCTGGAAAAGTTATAGATACAGCTTTCCATGATTCCAGATATGTTAAGAACAGCCTTTGACAATACTTCAGGCATCAAAGAAGTGACTAGTGTGAGAACCATAGCCACAGCAATGAACAAAAGTGAGATATACAAAGGCATGCTCCAAGAAGTTGACAAGCTTTTAAAGCTGTATTTCACTTTCCCTGTAACCACTGCAACAGCAGAACGTTCATTTTCAAGCCTTCGCAATATTAAAACATACCTAAGGAGCACCATGACTAGTAACAGACTTAACAATCTTTTCTTGCTTTACGTTCATAAAGAAGTTACAGATTCACTTGACTTGCATAAGATAGGTAATGACTTTGTGAATGTAAATAATAGAAGACAAAATTATTTTGGAAGATTCTAATTGCTCTGGATATTATTATTACATTACTAAAATTTTGTGGCCCCCCCAATGCAAAACACTTTCCTACGCCCCTGCAGTCCTCCACATAATGTATTAAACATCTAGGGCTCGTGCACAAAGGTTGCTTACCACCAACATCTCTGAGACATTGAACATAAAACGAAGAAATGTATCTTAGATTATTGTTAAATGAAGCAGCTTTGATTCTCCTTGAGTACCTACGGATAAGTGAAAATATTAATTAGATGTAGCCCATCTATGCATCCATGGCAATTCCTTACGGCTTCAATTTATCATACCCATCGCAGTGCCAGAGATAACTTGGTCCCTGTAGTTTTGGACTAGCATTGACATCAGTGACAATTTGTTACGATGTATTCACCTCTTCAGTTTTCTAGATTTTCTTTGCCTGTGGGTCTAACATATGTTTATAGAAGAATCAGCACTGTGTCCCTAAAAGGACACAGGGTTGATCGCAATTACAGATTGTTTACCTTCAAACTGAGAGATTGTATTTCATCAACCTGTACCACATTTCACAATAACCTAACAGCTTTCCTGGGCCATTTAATTCTTTCTGTCGACAGTGCACAATAATACTGCAATTCAGAGTTAAGGCCTGTCCACGAGCTGTAAACCAGATGCTGGACAGAATCATGTAACCACGCCCCGCGTTAACGTTTCACGGAAAACATATACTTTTAGTAGGGGTTTAAAAACAATGGTATTCGGTATAACAGACTGTAACGCGGTATAACAGATTGTAAGCATACATAAGGAGACATACAGAAAAAAACCTTAAAGGCAAAAAAAAGAACAGAAAACGATACGATAAACAAGCAAAACAAAAAACAACAAAACAAAAAAGCACTAAATGATACTGTCAATCTGCGGGGGAGGCGTTGGGAAATGGTGAAGCCACAGAGTTTCATTTCCTCTCCAAAGGCAAATAAAGCACCGTTGGAAAAGGTGATGGGTGCTTTCCGAGGGAGGTATGCCCAGCCGCTGCCGACCAATACTGGAGAGGGTTTTGGCAGCGAGATCACTCCAGCCTCTGAGAGACTCGACCAAGAGAGGGATGAACGACACTCCCACAGCACCGAATGAGGCAGCGTGCAGGGCCATCTTCCTCTCCTCCTACCCTCAATGTGTGCCCTTGGACACTGGCTGCACCACTCAAGGTAAGCTGTTGCAGAGTGGAAATGACGGAGACGTCGAGCACAGCTGGACGACCTCTCTCCCAAATAGGGAGGGAAATGTCAGCGGGGCAAGATTGGGAGCAGGGCACGAGAGATGGCAATTCCTTCCGGAGCGCTAAAGCAGTTGTCTGTGCTGCTGAGAATATTGCATCCCGGATAGAGTTGCGACGATGGATACGATCCCCGTTACCTCGCCAAATGCACTCCAGCAGACAGGGCAAGCTTCCCACCCCTCCGCAACAATAGGGAGCCCCAGCCAATATCGAAGACAGGGGCGAAACTCTTGGTCCAGGAGATGAAGGCCAAGAGCAGAAGAAGGAACATTATGGTCGAACCACCCTGAACTCATTTGAAACTGCCCTGTAGGCCGCCGTGTAGATAAGAGCGAGAAGGTTCGAGGAGGTTCGATACAGTCGAACCACTCCGAACTAGAGTACACGCTATACTATGCTTTGAAAGAACACCAGGAGCGGAGTCGATGAAGGAGGCTTCATCGATGAGATGGGAGAGAGTACGTTGACGTAGAGGAATATCAATGTTCTGCAGAGAGGACCAATCTGGCATCAAGGCTGCCATACCGAGGGCCCTGACGCTGGAGGGAAACAGAGCGGGAGGTGATGGTGAATGGCCGAGAATATCAAGCGACGTATATTATACGTACGGACGTAATTTCACGAATCTGCGCATGCGCGGAACGCGGACACTTTATGGTACACCAAAACACGGGGTCTCAACTGTCAGGCTACTGGAAATGAACATTGTTGGCGAGCGGGAGCGACCCAACTTGGGATTTGCCCGCGATGTTCTGGCTGCATAACGTGCCGTCAGCGCACAGCTTTCCTTTCGTGAAGCAAGACAGATCTACCTGTCGCCGTTACATGCGTACTGTATATTGGCAGAACGGTGAGCAGGTGAGCAGAACGCTACTTACCTTACGCTTTCAAGCTCGTCAGTCGTGGTCCACCAGGCAACTGGCATGCAGCAGTATGTGCACGAGCAATCCTAGCGTATTATACTATTTGCAAGTTGCACCTTGGGAAGAGGTACAGCCTCGTTCAGTCACCCAAGGTTATACACGCACGCTGTCGATGGAGAGGAGAGTTCTCTAGGTGGCTAGATCGATCGGCTGTGTGTGAAAATGTGTACAAATTTTTCGAAGCGCGTACAAAGCCGCGCATGCGCACTTACACGACGTACGCACGACGGACGGCCCAAAAATCCGCTCGAACGAACGACTGGGTTGGCTCGCTCCCGCTCGCCAATCATCCCTGTCCCAAAGGATAGAAGCCACCGACCATCAAACTATAGAGGCATCACCCTGTTCCCTATCTTCAGCAAGCTATTTGAAAAACTCCTACTGACTATCCACCGAATTGAGTAACATCCACCAGTTTCAGACCAAGAACAAGTTGCATCCACACAGCGTTTGTTATACAGGAAGTATATAATTCATCACCTGCGTAGTCAGCTTACATAGCCTTCCTGGATATGAAAAAAGCATTTGACACTGTCTGCCATGAAGGATTGATGCTGAAACTCCTGAAATTCGACTTCCCCTATTACATCTGGAGGCTCATCCTCAACTAGTATACGGAATGTTCCTCCTGTGTTCTCTGGAACTCTTCCACCTCCAGGTCCTTCCCAATACATCGAGGGGTTCGTCAAGGTGCCGTCCTCTCTCCATCTCTGTACATCATCTTTGTCAACGACCTTCTTGTAGAGCTCTCTTCCTCTGGTCACGGAGTCTGGATTGATGAAATATTCTGTGGAGCACCCATGTAGCAGACAACTTGGCTCTGATATCCGAATCTGAGACAGATCTTCAACACATGCTAGACAATGTGTCAGCGTACGCTGTGGACTGGTGGTATGAACTCAATGCTCTAAAGTCAGCGGTTTTGGTGATTGGAGAGTCCAAGAATTCCAGAGTCCTGCTCTGTCAATCACAGAGATGGTATGTATCCGGAGAGACGATACCAGAGAAAGACACTCAACATCATCTTGGCATCCTCCGTTCTGTGTTCTCATCAACTCTCCTCCGAACTTCTGAGTGCTGCTACCCTGCAGTGCAGGCAGGAGTGCATTTTTTACCCTTTACCAACTGGGTTGGTCCCTTCTATCCAGAATACTCTGGTCCACCATGGATTCCCCTCTATCAACGCCATCCTTGCTCGCCAGTGGAGTGGAAAAGGACAGTCAAGCGATTTCTACTAGCCTCTCAGTATGCAGATTTCTTGACTGAATGTGACCCCCTCTCACAATGCACGGAGGTGAAATTGGGCAGGACCATTCCTCATCTATTCGTCTCTCGCAGCTTCCCACGTGTGACCAAGCGCAACATCACCAGGATCCGGCTGCTTGTAAACTGCCATGGTCTCGAGTCTGATACCTGCAGATTCCGTCACAGTGTCTCAGATCCTACCTGCAGGCTCTGCCATTCTGGACCAGAAGACATTGAACACTTTATCTCTCACTACCCCGCCCTCTCCTCAGCCCGTATTCTTCTGCCTCTGCTGGCCGCATCGGAAATTGCGTCATCACTGGAATCTGATCCGACTTCCTTTGCGGAGTACATTCTCGGCATTCGGTGGATCAACGATCCACCTCTGCAGAGAGAGATCAAGTTTATTCACAACCTGCACGCTGAACATCTTCGCAGTCAACTGGCCATCACTCAATCGCCTACCCCATAGGCTACTCTCCCTCAGTGGAGGTTATAAAGAAGAAGAAGTATAATTATACAACTTAGGCGGAAGTGTTCCGCTTGGTCTATTTATGGCTACTTTTTGGCGTTAAAAAAAGACAAACGCAGTCTTCTGACAGTTTATCCAACGGGAAAGGTGAGTAACTTGACAGTTTTAGATGCAGGGCCTGTTTTGATCACTAAACGGGGCGCAGTTTCGATAGTTTAGTTCGTTATGTAAGCGTCATAATTTCCCCGCTGGATAAAGATTAACTTTTAGTATGTACTTGTTTCTCTGAGCGCAAGATGAATTCTTAATTCGAAGTGTAAGCAATCTTAAATACATTATATGAGTTACATGTAAACTCCCATCACCTGTTCCTCCTGAACTTTGACCTTCCTCCGTTGTCCAGGAGGAATCGCAGACAGGAAATCCAGAAACAAACAAATAATGTGGCATGGTCACAACTTGTTAAGGGAGTTAAGACCAATAAGTTTATCATTGTATCAAGTAAAAGGTAAAGTTACACTCTCAAAACAAAACAAAAATCTTAAATTGTGCTTGTTTTGATGCACCGAGGCCTGAAATGTTTTACACTGGTGTCCATGCACAATCATCCTCTCCTTCAGCATGTTGATTTTGAAAAGAGGAAAACATGTTCTTTCGAATCTATTCAGTACTTCCTCACACGATTCTCTGAAGTACTAACATCTGAACATACTGACGAAATCAATGGTGAATTTCGCCTGTATCAGAGCTTACCTGCAATCCCAGAAGAACTAGACACATCACAAATCTATGAGGAGGATCACTTTAGGGCAGATATTCTCTGGCATGAGCTGCAAGAAGTCAAGGATGTGAATGGGAAAGAGAAGTTAGGGCTGAGGTAGCCAAACTGGTGTTGATTCTATCTCACAGCAATGCTGATGAAGAGTGAGTATTTAGAATAGTGTGAAAGAATAAAACTGCATTTCGTGCCAATCTCTCCATTACAACTACACCACGCAGCATTCCAATGCAAATTAAGTCACATGAAATGCTAACCCACCAAGTTTTGCATTTGAAATTCGATGCAAGCAACATGTCAATTCCAAAGAGAACGTGCAAACTCATGACTACATACAACTTCTCAATGCAGTGTTTAATGTTTACCTCGGTGACGACAGGGTTAAAGTGTGAAGCCACGCCTCTGCATGCTTCCTTAGTGGTCGGTTCCTTCCACCACCTTCCATAACTCGGCACGGCGGATATTTAACCCCGTAAGTGCTAAATTCGGGAATCTTCAGCTAGTCGCATGTCTGTCCGTGCCTAATCTGGTGTCCAGACCCTTCACAAAATATATGCGCACGCGTAAATGCATGCGCGAGGGAGGGAAAGAAGGTCTGGTAAATAACTCTGGGTCTGGGGAAGGTCTGGTTAATAAAAGCACTGAAGTGCAAACCCTCGGCGAACTGCGCATGCGCGGTATATTAGTATGCGTTACTCGCGGTCTCCCGCTAGTATATAGCTCGCAGAGAGTCTGACACGGGCTAGCTACAGTAGTAGATTAGCATGCGACAGTCGATACACGCCCTTCGTTGTGACTTCTTGTGCCTTAAAAATACACAGAGCAAGCAGACCTGGTCCTGTGCTAAATATAAGCGCATGCGCATTTTCCGGTTCCGCAGCGATAAAAATGGCCGACTACGCATTAGCCGTGCCGTACAATGGTGGAACGCTCTAGCTTTGCAACGGAGCGTTTTCAGAGAAAACCGTTCGAAATTTCTGACCTTCATTGCCCGTTCGGTAGGTGGTATCCTTTGTGAGACGAAATAAGATGAAGAATAACAGACACACATACAGAGACAGAGACAGACCCAACTACTGTAACCCTCGCTGCGCATGCGCGCCGAGGGTTAACAATGGTTGGGTTCCGTGGTCGCCCTACAATACTTGCCCAACAAGCCCACCAAGTAAGCTTACACATTGGCTGATGCAGTACACGGCTACATGCTGAATATTCTGGTGTATACTGGAAGTGACACCCTCTCAGCAGCTTGTGTTGAGTTCGTCGGCCTGCCGCAACCAACACGGGTGGTGCTCCACGTAGCTGACAAATACCTAAAAAAGCGCCACCACATATTCACAGATGGGTACTACACCAGTATACCACTAGCCAACAGTCTCTACCAACGCAAAACAGCATTCACCGGAACTATTATGAGGAACAGGGTTGGACTGCCAGAGGAATTTCGGAAGCCGGCAAAGAAGCTTGGTCAAGGCCTTTCGAGAATCCAAAAAGATGGCGTTGGAATGGAAGGCACCACCAGTGTCATCATGATCAGCACAGAGTCACCAGCTTCAATGACTCGCGTTCAACTGAGCAGAAACAGGGGAGAGACGCAGAAACTCCTTGCAGTCAAACCCTACCATGTCAATGAACGGCGTGGACCGAGCAGACCAAAACAGCGTCTACTACTCCTTCATCCGAAAGAGCCAAAAATGGTGGAGGAAACGTTCCTTTTGGCTCATAGAGGTCACAACCGTCAACAGCTTCATTCTCTACCAGTTTCATCCACAGGCAAATCTGACACACCTTCAGTATCGTCGACAGGTGATTGAAAGTGTGGCTGTGCGGTACCTCTATACCATACCACCACGTCCACGTCCTGGTCGCCCACGAAAACGACCACTTACAGAGGGTGATGGTGACTCTCCGGCTCAATGGCAAGTGCCATGTTCCAGGGAAGCTTCCCACCTCAAAGGAATGTGCAGTCTGCAGTGACAGAAACAAAAACAATAGACACAGAAGTCTCTACTACTGCAAGACATGCCCAAGTCAACCCCCACTACGCATCTCACCATGCTTTGAGAATTACCACACCCTTTCTGTTTACCAGTAGTAAATCTTGCTGACCTATTACAAAACCAATGAACTCACAAGTTAGCATGTCTACCACTTACCAGTCAATTTGTGCGTGTATCCAGTTCCATCCATCTTCTCATGCTCCAGCTGACTCAAAATAGAACCACAAGGCCTTCTTTTTGTTTCCAGACTCCAGAGTAAAGCTCCAGTAATGTATAAAAGCGTGAAACAGTACGCGTATATAATATAGTACACGCAAATGAAAATTGCGATTACGGGGTATGCGTGATAACGAGCGTAATGTGTTAAACAAGAACAAGAGAAAAAAGGGATCACTACACAGCAAAGATGCACAGTTACATGACCCCATCCCTATGTTTGTTGGATATCCTGTTTGCTTTAGTGTTCATAAACAAAGTTCTATAGGGATGGTGTCATGTGGCTTTGTGTATTCCCTACATCCCCTTCATTTTGACGTCATATGTGCCATGACTTCTCCCACTGGTCATACCCGAATTTGCAATATTTTGTCCTCATATTCTCTTCCCCTTGTTCTATTCTTACGGAACTAGTCAAAGTGCTGAACCATCGACGGAGTTAGGCAGTGAAATCAGTGTGTTTTAACGAGGTATCGAGGTAGAAATACAAGGCAAAGCACCTATGACAGGTCTTTCTTTTCAAGGAAAAAAGAAGAGGACTAGCTAGTAGGGGTTCGAATCAAACATACAATACAACACAAAAGGCAAACCTCAAGCCACTGTGCTACGGCACAGAATACTCTCAGTCGGTGTGTATAGCAGACCAGAGTAATTACACCACGAAAGACAAAACTCCCCAACTCCTAACTGAGTATATGCATATGTAAAGAACAAGGTGTCGAGGTAGAATGGCAAGGCAAAGCAAACCAATCAACTATACCCAGGACTACTCTTTCAAAAAAGAAGAGCTGCCCTTTGTGGGCGTTTCGTGTGTGTGCTGCCTACACTCCATGCGGTAGCAATTATGAAGCCCCCTCAGCAGTTCCTTGTCATTGCTTTACCAGTTCCATACGGATGCTTTACTGTAAGTACACCTTTCCTTTGCAACCTGCCCTAAATATAAAACACATCAAGAGATTGGGCCTGCATCTTCTTGTCCCTCCTTCTTGTTCATTACGTGATATTACTACACCCCCCTTTTTTAGTTAAGGTCATTTCAGTTGTATATACCAACATTATTTTTGTGAACGTTGCAGTTGAAGAGCCGGCAACTAACAGAGGTCTCCTTCTACAGTATTATGTGCATAGTTGCTGCCTTTTTGAAGAGGAATGCAGAAAGTGCCTAAAAATTCAGGAAGAAAAAGCACAATAACCAACAGCAAAACAACTTCTCTCTCCTCCCCCAATTTTTTATTCTGTTTTGTGGGAAATGGGGGACTGTTCTGTGCTTCTAAATGTAAATAAAGCCTGCTTCATTAAGGAAGAGCGGTACTTCATAATAGTTATGATGTGCTTGTGCACGCCTCCCATTCTTTGAAGGGTCATAATAGTAGCGAACCTTTATGTACAAATTTATGCTTTATGTAAACACTTTTTACCAAACAAAGAGCACAATAACCAACAGCAAAACAACTTCTATGCGACATATTGGGTTCTGCATCTCCTTGACCTTCTAATGCTCATTAGGGGTGGCACTCTTCTCCCCCACCCCACAAGTTCAATGCGAGCAAGACCCAAATGATTATACCACTTTCAATCTTTTCTTTCAAGATCTTTAGCTCTTTCTTCCTCTTCATCTAACTATGTTTATTCATTTACGGTTTCAATGCTTTGTATATATGGTCATCAACATGTTAGAGTATTTAGTGATGTAGACTGTGATATTGCCAGCACCTTATCTTTTGAATGAATTATCGAAGCTCTTTCATGCCAGTGAAGTCTTTTGCCTGGATCAGTTATTTTACTCCTCTCTCTATGGGTGGTACAGTGGTCGGACCAGGAGCCCTTAAGCCCCAAGTTTGCGATGGGATATGTCCAGCTGACCACTGGTCCACCTTATCATCTACAATTGGAAATTTCTTCATCTTAGGGGGGGCATTTCTAAAGCTATAGATAGGCCGTGAGTTGGTGAGAGAGCCATTCTCATTGAGCTTTGAGGTGTTGAGAATGCATCCCTACATAGGTGTAGGCTATGATAATACTGCCACAAAAACTGCTCTCTACTGGGGCAGAGCAGAGTGCTGACAAGTGACCAGTGCAATGAGACACAAACCTCATCTTGAATACATCTGTGTGAATTACATCGACTTTACTGCCAGCAATCCTGGCAACGTAGGGTGTAGCTTTCCTCTACTAACTTCCACTTGCGTTTTCAGCATTTCTAACACTGCAGTTCTAGCCAGGTTTAGGGTAAAGTCCCCTCTGTTTTCACAATGGCAGAATTGTGGAGTGCTTCTATGCTGCTTGTTTATTACTATTAATTTGCATAATGAAGAACCAACCATAACTGCAACTGCAGATGTAATGGAAATGTTAAGGAGCAAATCATGCACTTAGGAAGTATATTCACTAACTTTGTACGTTGCAGAACCTACGTACCATAACAGATGTGTTTAAGAGCACATCATGCATTACATGTAGCGTACTATCCCTAAGAGGATTATGGGAAGACCACGTACTTCATCAGAAAGAATACAGGAAAAAAAGGCTGCAATATTGGACTCAACATGTAGCTGAGCCTCAATTAGAACAAATCTGTCATATATTATAAATGTTCTACAAAGTGTTAACATTACACGCCTACTCTGGCCAGAATTGTGTATAAAATTGCGGGATATTCGACGACAGCCCTGCAAGAAAGGAGATAGTAACGTAACTACTGCTGGAAATATTTTTTGGGCAAGAAGAGCGAGCACCTTAATGGACACGAACATTTTGCAACAAACAGTCCTTGTCCAGTATTTCACTCAATTGCTCCACAGTTACGTAAAGGTACTGAGAGACAGATGAACCTACTGCCCAGCAAGACAGCTACAGCAACACTAGTCTAGCCCACAGACCTCTCTGTGGTATGCAAGTGTGCAGACACCTGCAGTTGCAGAGAGAATGTCTAGCCAAAGCTGCACTAATTGCCGAGCGCATTAGCGCGAGGCAACTACTCCGGGTTGTATTCTCGCGATATGCGTACGTACGTACGTCATCAATTAGTCACGCTTAGGAATGTCAATTAGTCACCAAAAGGAAGTGTAACTTTCGTCATTCGTAGGAAGTCTAGCTTCCGCCGTGCACGCAGATTCGTAGGAAGTCTGGCTTCGCGCACAGTCAGTAGAGCACACGCACGAGCGGTTGTTTACGCATTGGCTGGCAGGCGCGAGGCAAAATATGCGCGTGCGCATTCCTAGTATGGTTATGGCATGGGGTGTTAACGTTATCTGGGCAGACCTTGTATACCATGGTAGCCATGAATGTCATTGGAACGATTCATATTCATTAGAAATACCAGACCTCTCTCCGAGTGCACACTTGTGCACGTGCAGGGTGGAGGGAAAGGTCAGCAGACTAGATTACAAATATTTACACAAAACGTTTTTGTATAAAAAAGATGCACATAATTTGAACATATGCCCACAAACATGATATACGAATAAAGTACGTGGGCTTGCTATGCTTGCCCAATCATATTAAAGCTTTATCACAATGATGACAACATGCTTCAGAGGTAGACATACTGGCCAGACACTGCAAGTCCGATGATAAGCACCGCTGCACTGTTATGGATGCCTAGGCAATTAGTTCATAGGTAGGCAGGGTGATGAGACACTCAGTTACCAGTCCTAAATCTTACTAAGTCAGTGCACTATGTCCCTCGGCGTAAGAATCTGGGCAGCAAGACTACTTCAGAAATGAATGAAAAGCACTCAAGTGCAAACCCTCGGTGAACTGCATGCGTGATATCACTAATTCATGGGCTGGGCTATTAGTATGCCTTTATTCGTGGTCTCCCGTTAGAGTAGCTCTTTCTTCCTCTTCATCTAACTATGTTTATTCATTTACGGTTTCAATGTTTTGTATGTTAGTTATGTAGACTGTGATATTGCCAGCACCTTATCTTTTGAATGAATTATCGAAGCTCTTTCATGCCATGGACTAGCTACAGTAGTAGATAGCATGCGGGAGTCCATACACGCCATTTGTTGCGACTTCTCGTGCCTCAGAGCAAGCGGACCCAGTCGAGGTAAGCCTGTGCTAATTTGCATATTAGCTTGTTCATTTGCTATTCACGCCATAACTTTAAAAAGCAGTATTTTTATGAAAATCGCCTTTTTAAAAATCAAGCCAGTGTAGCACTGAACTCGTTACTATCCCTCTTTGGCTGATTTCTTGCGCGTGGTGGAAGAAAACGTGATAACAGACAGACACACTCACAAACCAAGTACTGTGCCAAAGGTTAAAGAAAAGCAAAAAGTGCAAACCCTTGGCGCACTGCGCACGCGCGGTACCGCTAATTGATGGGTTGGGCCAAGAATATGCATTTACTTGCGGTCTTTACGCAAGTAGCTTGCGATAGTCTGACACGGGCCAGCTACACAAGTAGGTAGCATGCGGGAGTCGACACATGCCCTTCGTTGTGACTTCTTTAGCCTCCAAGGTACACAGAGCGAGCGGATCAGGTCAAGGTAAGCCCAGTGCTATTAAGTATGCATATTGGCTTTTTCGCTTGTTTACATGGCATATCTCTCGAACGCAGCCGTTTCAGGAAAATCGCTTCAGGCTTGTGTAGTTCTGAAGCCGTTAGTATCGCTAATAGGTCGCCTCGTGGCCTGTGGTGCCAGAAATAGACAGACAGACAGACAAACCAAACTACTGAAAACATGTGCACCGAGGGTTAAAAAATTATAAACAATGCCAAACTTGATATGGGAAAAAGTTATAATCTCCGATAATTTATATCTCTCCACCAGTTATGAAATCCAGTTTCATTTTTTCCTGACTAGAGAGAGGTTCCTATACTATAATTTATTCCACCTTATATTCTGATGAATACCTGGTACACATGGTTGAGATGGAAGAGTTGGATCAGGGGTAGGAAGTAGTGGTACTCTTCGCTGCTGTACTGGTAGACCTTCTGCAGATGCCAATCTAACTGTGTTACTTTCACTCTAAAATTATTAAAGAATGCAGTTAGGTACTGCATTGCATAAGCATACTCACTGTGTGCTATGCAGAAAAAGAAATAATTTACTGAATTTCGCACACTTCAAAAGATGTTCAGTTCATGCAACTAACTATGCAATACTACAAGAGATCTGGACATGGACTGGCTATACTGAAGATTTGCACATAAAAGTATATGTAGCGTGGTAGAGGGACACTCCTTTCACGAGTTTCTTGAGCCAGCCTCCAGTTATGGCCATTCGTTGGGGACAAGGCGCTGGCTAAATACACGAGTGTAGCTGATGAAGGTCACAATGTCATACACATACAGTTCAACAACTGACCAACACATTGCAGGACTTTATTGCGGCACGTTGATTGGCCTGCGAAGAAGCCGCATGCGCTTATATGCTAATTAGCACAAGCTTACCTCGACCGGGCCGCTTGCTCTGTGTATCTTGAAGGCATAAGAAGTCACAACGAAGGGCGTGTATCGACTCCTGCATGCTATCTACTACTGTAGCTAGTCCGTGTCAGACTCTCCGCGAGCTACTACGTAGCATGGACACCACGAGTAAACGCATACTAAAAGCCCAGCCCATCAAATAGTGGTACCGCGCGTGCACAGTTCGCCGAGGGTTTGCACTTCAGTGCTTTTCATTACAACTGGTGTTTATGTACACGAAGTGGGTTTACATTCCAAATGACTATTGTAAATAAAGTGTGGTGCGGAGCTATGGATTTTAGTCGGGGTTTCAAGGTGATTATTTGCAAAGACCCTACCCTATGCACATGCTCAAATTACACTCAATTACATTAGGCAGTTTCCCTCGCATTTTCTGCAGATGGCCGACTACGCATTAGACGTACAATGCTGGAAGCGTTCTAGCTTTGCAAGGGAGCATTTTCAGAGCAAACCGTACAAAACTTCTGACCTTCATTGCCCGTTAAGTAGGTAGCATCGTTTGTGAGATTGAAAGTAACAGACAGACACACACAGACCCAACTAACGTAACCCTCGCTGCGCATGCACGCCGAGGGTTAATAAGCCATAAAGTTGTACCAGTAGCTTTAAGGGGAAAAACACTAGAGTCTCTCTTCCCCAGAGAGACTCTGGCTAGTAAGACTAACCACAAGACTTATGCATAGTCCAAACACTAACTACGACAGTTCGGTTTACACTATCTACCATGTGTCTCTGACAATTGCTTGTTTCGTTTTGTGGTTGCACAAGGATTAAAGGAGGAACATTTACTTAAGTGTGAAGTCCGTTGGACAGAAAATCCACTGTAGGTCCCCTATATGACCAAAACCTATGGCTATTTGGTCCACTCTGCCTGTGTTTATGGTGGCAAGAAGTACACGTAAAGGCAGAGGTTTGTATCTGTGTACAATGTATACTACTCGTGTGGTTCTGAAGTGGAATTTTTTTCTCATGCAGATACAGCAATTGTGTGCCGCTCTCCAAAAATGCCCTGCATCAACTCGCCTGTTCGCGGTCGACTCTCAAGTATAATACCTTCTGCAAGGGTCTTGCGCCTGCCGGGGAGGCGTGTATGGATCAACAGCTACGGGAATAGCATCCGGATGCCGGACCAACAGAATCCAGTTAGAAATCATGGGAAATCAGCAAAAAGTGGAAATCAGATATCAAGTTGCCGTGCGCGTGCCGCTTATCTGCTCCATTACAGCTCTGTTCACTATACTACAAGGCCGACCCTGCTGCGGTGCGCGAGTCACTCGCTCCGGCCGGCCGGCCACATCGCGACGCGGTACCGCCCGATCAAGTGTGCGCACACACGCTCTGGGTATCCAAAACCATAAGGGTAGGGCCTTGCATGCTCGACCTTGGCCTAGGCAAAGGTTTGCTCAGGTGGAAATGCCAGGATACCAGACAGAGAGGCATGAGAAATAGGAGGGAATAACAAAATTGGAGCAGAAATTCCCTTTGGACTCCTACCTCCTAGCCGGCGGCCTACCACAACTTGAACCTCACGTGATTGAACGGAGGCTTGAGAAGAGTATATCTGAAAACAAGAATGACCACACTACTAACAGCTTTACTTTACAGGCACAGTAGTGTAGCCGGCTATAATTTGCTCAATGATATAGATTTCTCATGTGCGCCGGCAACAGTATTATGGACCTCAGTGTTCTGTGGCACATGACTACTGTTCATGCCAGTACGGGAACTCCTCTTTGGGGAGTTTACAGTTATAAAACCCTCAAGAGATCGAGAATCAAAAGAAATCCATAGAAATCTATAAATCACTGGGAATCAGTTGGAAATCAGGTGGAAATCTGGAAATCCCTTAAAATCACGGAAATCTGAGAAATCACGTTGAAATCTGGAAATCAGTTGAAATCACGTGGAATCTGAAATCAGTTGAAATCACATGGAAATCTGGAAATCAGTAGAAATCAGTTGGAAATCACGGGCTTTTTACTCGTACGTCATAACGGCCCGTGTCAGACTCCTCGAGCGGGAGACCGCGAGGTTAACCAAGAAAGGGTTAACTGCTGTTAACCGCCCGACGGCCGGCGTGAGGTGCGGCCGACACATCCGCAGGGAGACTAGACTGCACACTTTGTGACTGCGTTGGTTGTGCTCGACGATCAGGTTGGCAAAAGAGCTCAGTTCATGCTGCCCTTATCCGACCGTGATGACTATGTGAGAGTTGGGAGATGAACCCGGGATGAGTCGCAAGGGGACGGACAAGGAGCACGGCCGCGGCAGCGGAGACGTGACCCTACCGCGGGCCGGCCTGGCGTCATTAGTTGAATCGGCCGTCGAGAGGGCTCTTGCATCATGCTCTCGGCAACCACTGACGGACGGTGGTGAGTATGATATACCCGGCAGTGTACACACCATGCTGCCTCGGCTCTGCGGTTTGGGCCGGTCGCCCGTACAACTGTATTGTCCCAGATCGCGCGCAGGGGCAACATGTGTGGGGTATAATGCTTTTCTCCCCGCTTGGCGTGATGCGCTCCCGAAGGGTTCGATGAGTTCTCTGCCTCTCATGAGCTCTGCTGTGTCTGACACAACGACCCACTTACACACGTCAACGTCCGTCACAACCGCTATTTCGTCCCCTGTGATCACAGAGACTGCTGTGGAGCAAGTGACGGGAACATCTAGTGCACCACTTTGCAACTTACTCCGAGACAGCGGCATGGTTAAAGAGTCAGCCGGAATCTACATGGGGGAGGGACTCCTTCCAGTGCCGGCCAAACTGGCAGAGAAGATCATCCATTGGGAGTTTGTTGAAATACAATTTTGGACCCCCTCGGTCGGAAATGACCTGCCACCTCTGAAAACAAGCACTCACCGACAGAAGCGGGCTGTGACTGACATCACAACATGGGTGCAGTGCTTGCCACATACACATAGCGTTATGTCCGGCCCGCACTCTATCCCCGTACCCGAGCTTCTGGCCTACCTCATCCTCATTTTGAGGGCCAGCCAAGATTTCGGCAGTGTGGCTTGGGTGACATACTACGCAGCATTCCGGCGCCATGCGTTTATTACCGGGAAGTTGAACCCGTCTCTCTACTCCATCTGCTTTGTGGGTGGTAGCTCAGACTGTCCCTTCCCACCCGTGATTGTGCTCTGGTGACAGACTGACCCGGACGTAGCTTCGAGACTAACATTGGTGTCAGCTATTGTGGCCTCTACCTCCTTCCCCCAGCCTGCCTTCCAGAGGTTGCAAGAGCTTTGCAGGAGCTGGAACGCAGGCAGCTGCTGAGTGTGCGAGCCTTTAACTGCTGCGATCGTTCCCTTGTGCCCCAGACGAGCCCGATTATGCTGCCGCTAGGACCGGCTATCACCTCTGCTGGCTCAAGCTGCCGCCAGCTACATTGTTCTCTTATCACACGGGACTGAGGGGGCACCTTCTCACCAGGGTGCACGCTCTTACTAGGTGCTGCTCCCCCCCCCTCCCCTCCCCTCCCCTGCCCAAGCCATGCGGGGTCGCTGTCCTTGCCGAACACACTGAGACTGTATTATTGCCTATTGCCTAATTGTGTTGTGTTGTCACTTTATCGGGGATTAAAGCTTAGGCGAGCGTCGACTACTCTACTGTACTCCACTGCTACACAGGTGATCTGCTGGCATTGGATAGCCACGCACCACGATGCTCTGCCTTCCTTCACCTCGGTTTAATACCATAGTCACACCTCTCGACGCCGAGAGATGGAAAGAGTCCCTACGTGGCCATCCGGACAGGGCATTCGCCAATTACATTACTCCGGGTATCCTGCCAGGGTTCCGTATCAGTTTTAGGTTCGGGGCAGTGGCCTGTCGCTCCACATTCTCGTCTGCCTCGCAGTGCGAACACAAGATAGACGAGTTATTTGCAACAGATGCGCAGTGGGGCGGATTCTTGGCTCACTCCTCGACCTGTCTAAGCTGTTGAGACGGACGAAGTGGCTGGGTTTAATTACCGCTGAGCAGAAAGTCGAAGGCCCATCTACCAGGCTTATCGATTCAGAGGCCCTAGTCCTCAGGTGCCCTAGTCCTCAGGTTCCCTCGCAACAAGCTGCTGGCACTAAAGGAATGGCTGGCCTCGTGGAAGGATCAACGGTCATGTAAGAAGTCTGACCTACAGTCTCTGGCAGGATCCCTGCTGAGCACGCATGCAAGGTCGTTCGTCCAGGGCGGATATTCCTTAGACGCGTGTTTGAGCTGCTTCAAGGGGTGTGCCAGAGCTACCATCACATCTGACCCAATGGTGGGATCCGCTCAGACGTGACTCATGGAATAGGGTTTCCATGCTGCGGCCCCGAAGGCTGGCGTAACCATATATCGAGGTCTTCACATATGCCTCAGGCTCCTACGGGTGTGGAGTCACTTGGACTCGTCACTGGCTCCAGCTGGAGTGGCCGCCATCCTACAGGGACATCCTAATAACCCCGAAGGAGATGGTACTGATTGTGATGGTGTGCATACTATGGGGCCGAGCCTGGCGAGGCCAGGTGGTGCACGTGCACTCAGATAACGAGGCAGAGGGAACTCAGGCTACAGTAAAGACCAACAGCTGATGCACTTAGCCCGTTGCCTATTTTTTGCGCTGGTGGCGTGGGACATCTCTCTGTATGCCCATCATATACTGGGGTTTTGAACACAGTAGCAGATACCATTTCACGGGACAACCTTCCCCTTCATTTCTCGAACGTACCAGACGCAGACCCCAGACCAGCAGTAGTGCCGCCGGACTTGGTGGAACTCCTGGTCACCAGCCAACCGGACAGGACTAACCCAAACTGGAGGCAATTGTTCAGGAACTGTTTATGGCTGGCCTAGCGGCTTCCACACGGAGGGCCTACTGAAAGTGGGAACGGCGGTATCTGCTCTTCTGCTACATGCTTTGTGAGTCGCCCATACCTGGCTTCTGTGTTCAAAGAGTTGTCGCATGAAAAGCAAGTGAACAAGTCAATATGCAAATAAGCACAGACTTACCTTGACCAGGTCCACTTGCTACTTGCTCTGTGTATATACCTTGGAGGCCACAACGAAGGGTGTGTATCGACTCCCACATGCTATCTACGTACTACTGTAGCTAGCCCGTGTCAGACTCTCCGTGAGCTAACAAGTGGGAGACTGCGAGTAAACACATACTAATAGCCCAGCCCGCATTTAGCAGTACCGCGCATGGCAGTTCGCCTCTCACTTTCAATCACTTCTGGAATCCAAATGCAGTCATGTGCCAAAATAGCCAAAGTGCATACACCAAAAGTTTGTGCTAACTAGTAATACACATGCAACTGATCATTGAACACAACAGGCAATTGAATAGAAACTGCCCCATTACTGGCTAGGACACAGCTACTTAGCATTTTGTTGTGTTTAAGGGCTCTATCCATCTCATAGAACTACAGAGTGACAAATTGAGAGGACTTCAATAATTTGGTAAAACAGACCTGAGTTCATGCATATGGCATGCCATTTGTTCCAGAATAATCAGGGTATTCTGTAATGCTATGACATTCACTTGATGTTTGAAACAAACATCAAACAGTAATATTGAACATCGAATTGGTAATCCTCAAACATGGAATGCCTTTATCATCAAACATCAAATGACTTTTCAAACACCGAATGAACATCAAACTTTTCGGATCGAACATCGAATGTACTTTCAAACAACGAGGAGGTGGAGTGCTATTTATGTGCATGCACGGTGCACACGTGTTGTGAGCTGCTCAAGCGACAGCACTGCGTCGCTTGGCTCATGGCATGGCATGCTGACTTTGCACGCCTAGTTCTAGTCCTCTCCTCATTCCTCATCTAAACGTACCAAGGTACGGCAAACCTAAACCAAGGCCCCATCACGCCTAGCTACTCCAATTACCTCATCTGTCTCCTTCTCCACCTTGGAGGCTTGAGATCCCAAGTCCGAGGCACTTGTGGCCATGATGCTAGACGCACAAAAAAGGACCTGAACTAGGCATGCATAAGTCAGCGTGCCATGCCATAAGCTAAGAGACGCAGCACTGTCGCTTCAGCAGCTCATGACACGTGGTGCAGTGCGCATGTGCATACATCTCCTATATCATTTGTTGTTCGAAAGTACATTCAATGTTCGATCCGAAAAGTTTGATGTTTGATGTGATCATTCAATATGTTTGCATTCATTGTTGGAAAAAGTCATTCAATGTTTGTGATAAAGGCATTCGATGTTAGAATTCCTGAAGCAGTCATTTGATGTTTGCTTTCTAACATCAAATGAATGCCATAAGATTACTGAAAACACAGAATATTCTGGAATAAATGGCATGCCATAATGGACCACATACAGCAGACAAAAGCTGGAAGCAACTAGAAAGCACTAAAGTGCAAACCCTTGGTGCAACGCTGGCAACTTAGCTTTAGCTGATTTCACACCATCTGACTGTAAGAGTGGCAAGATTTATAATTAGTGGTACAATAGTTTCACACTGTGGGCATACCTTACTTGGAGGCATGATAGAGAAATCGGCAACTCACGCAACTGGACACCACCGAACAAGAAGCAAAATGGCCGCTTTCCACCATGTGGACGAATAATGCGCACGCGCGTTTTCCGCAAAGTAAAATGGCCTACTGCGGCCGGCATTAGCCTCAGCGCACTGCACATGTGCAGTACTACCACTTGAAGGCTGATTTATGAGTATCAGTTTATCGCAGTCTCCTGCTACTTGCTCGCGTAGAAGAGGACGTGAGCTAGTAGATAGCATGCGGGAGTCGATACATGTCCTCCATTGTTAATTATTGCGCCTCCAAAAGAAACACCAAACGGATCAGGTTGAGCGAGGTAAGCCGGTTCAATTATGCACATAGGCTTTTTCGCTTGTTTTATGGCACATCTCTCGAACACAGTCATTTTAGGGAAATTTCCATTGGTATAACTAATAGGCCACACAGACAGACAGACAGACAGACATACAAAGTACTGTAACCCTCACTGCACATGTGCATCGAGGGTTAACCATTAATAAAAAGCATTAAAGTGCAAACCCTCAGTGCAAAGAATGTGTGCTAATAAATGATCGGAAGGGTCATGCTTCATAGTCATTCCCTCGTACCTCTGAAGCCATTAGGATTGCTCATGGGCTGCCTTAGTGCAAGAATAGGGATTGACAGACAGAAAGATAGACAGACAAACACACAGACATTCTTGATATTACATAATTGCATGAAGGTAGGCACTGAAGGCCATGGGTTGAGATGTGTTCTAGGATAACGCAGGTGGCGGAAGATGACTCACAGTGGTTGACGCTACCTTTAAGATCCCACAAGACATTTCAGACACTAATTACTGAAAATCTACATTCTAACCTGTGTGGAATGGCTTACCTCTAGTCTATCTAGCAGACCCTTTCTCAGGTACACGCATACACAGCATGCACGGTTTGGCAGCAACACATGGAAAGGGGGTCTAGCCAAACCAGCACTTGATTGCGAATGTTCGAACTTTATTATGACGAGGGTTGTTGACTTAAACTGGGCCGACTTTGTGCACCGTGGTAGCACTGTTAACCGTGAAAAAATGGAACGATTCACTCCAATGATATGCATGTGAAACATTCAAGTACAGGTTTTGCCAGACTCTGTCTGTGTGTGCTAGCTCATGTCTGGGCCGGAGAGAGAGGGTCTGTGTGCTAGCTTACTTCAGATTACTACTTTGCTTGCTGTACACGTTACAGCAAGCAAAGTGATCTGCATGCAGATTGTAGCATTTATGTACAGCACATTGCAAGACTTCACAAATCATTTTGCTTCCTTTTATTGATTGTAGGTTGTATCATACCATTTTTAGCTCTTCTTCATGTCCAAGTATCCTTGGTTCACTAAAGTTAAAATAAAGTGATTGTTGCTTACTAGGGAAAGAATAATAGCAAACTGGGTGTATGTAGCACAATGAGCTTCGTGTAATCTAAGCGCAAACTAGTAGCTATGTGGCAAAATATTTTAGTTTAGCAATAACATAATTACAGTGCCCCAGAGCACGCACAAACATTAGTGGTTTGTAGTCTTCGGGGTCGCATATAGCCATAGCCAGGAGTATACACCATAATAATGGTGCATCTCAATGTGTTAACTGCTAACTATCCTCTGCCTTTGGCTGCAGGCAGACAACCTTTTGTGTCACATGGACCTGGTGCAGTGGTCGTTGAGTCAGTGGTGTCAGCTGCAATCAATTCTGCAGTGTACCTTTTGCATGGTGAGAGCCACCACCAAGGCACACAACCACATCAGACTCAGTCGTGACATCCTGCCAGACGTACAGCGACAGAAAACGTTGGTGGGGTGCTGGAACAAAGTAGCCAAATTCTTTTGCATTCACCAGCCAACGTTCTTTAGTGACCTGTGATGCTTCTGGTTCTTGAAGCATAGTCTGGGTCAAGCTTATTTCAAATGGAGTGGTCCGCAAAGGCATGGGCCGGTACATTTCTTTGCTGTGTGGTATGGAGCAAGCGCTGGCATGGCTCCAGAGTGCAGTGGCTCTGAAACACCCCGTTCAAGCAGAGATCCTACCGGGACTAGGACATTATTCCTCCGATTCACTGCCTCTTAGATAGCATCTAACCGGCATGCTCGCCGACAACCTATCCCGTAACTAACTGCCTGTCTGCTTTCCTCTCCAAAGCCCTGTCTCTGGACCCTGCCCAAACGCTCCTGCCATGGCAGCTACCGGAGTTGCTCCTCGACTACAAAGACATCTCCACACTAGATGCAGGCAATTTACTCTAGTTTTCTTGCCTGTAAAAAATTGGACGAAGCTCAGCCCTGAGCATAGATACCAGCGTGTCTTTTGGAGGGGTCAGGTTAAGACCGCTCAACCAAAATTTGAGGACCAACTGGGGGGATACACGCTGTTTGTGATGTCAATACTCAGCCTGGGGCCCAAAAGGGAGGAGCTTTGTAAACTTTTTAATTGGGTTAAATGCTACCAGAAAGAGAATTGGGAGAGAATATCACCCTGGAAAAGGCCTCGAGTAACGGCAAGGGGGTGGAGCAATTTTTTGCGGCAAAGTTGTGGTAAGCTTGGAATACATGTACCAGATGTAAAAGCGAATTTTGGAAGGACCTTTAAGATAGCAAAACTAGTAATAGAGAAGCAACCAAAAGGGTTTCGTAAGTCAATGAATGTTGAAGTGAGCGTGGATATAATGTTGGTTTTGGCATTCGATATAAGTGCATCAATGCTGAGGATAAGAACTGTTGATGCTTGAAAAATAACCATTTGGGTAAGACTTAAGGCGACAAGCTACGATCTTATGGAAGAGCTTCAGAGAGAGCTTAAGTTAGCAATCACGTCATGCACAAAATCCTTAAGTAAGTCATGTAGCCCTGTCCTAAGCATGCAAGTGAAGTTTCTCAGGTCTACCCGAGTGTTCTGAGGTAGACCTAAAAAAATTCTAAGGGTGGTCAGTGGTGTTACTAGTTACTGTTTAATTCTCAGGTCTATATCTGAGTTCTCAGGTAAACTTCACTGTTCTCAGAATGACCTCACATGCCCTGTATACCACCCCCCAAAATTCACGGATTTTTTTGTACTGATGGCATTTCATTCTGACATAAACACTGACTGCATTTACAGAACCTATGTGTGCTAACAAGCATTTTGCGTGCTTTTAGTAGCTGCTTTTGGCCCTGGCCTAGTGAAATTACGAAGGATTTGCCAATTCCAAGGTCTAACGCAATTGACTTAAAGCTCAGAACAGGATCCACCTATGTATTAGTCTCTTTCTTCGGTGCTTTTTACAACTCTCTGCAACATTTCAAGGGCATACCTCAAGGTTTGTTCTACCAAACTAGGCCATTAATTGCAGAGGTAAATATTAACACCTGGCGAGCGGTATTAATGAAGTGCTAATTGGCAGTTCACACGAACTTCACCATCCTCCTCATTACGGATGCGTAGAAGGTGGGGCTACATAGTACCCAGAGGAGTGGAGGTTAAACACAATCATCATTCTTTAGCCATTCGCACATGCGGCTATAACGTCATCAAGTATTGTAGCTGAAAAAGGAAGAGGTCGTGGCTGGTGTGGTGTTCAAGTGAACTAGGGGCTTGAGTGTGTGTATGCCAATACCATGGAGAACACCCGTAACATGGAGAACACACAGCATTATAATTATTATGCCACGACGAACTTTTACAGGCTGAAGCTTAGATTATAAAACCGAGCCTCTAAATATAAGAAGGCGATTAGGTAAATGTCATTCACGCGCCAGAAACAACCATACTGGAAGCAAGTCAAAGGCTCTCCAAACACTGATGAAGGAATCCAGCAAGGGCTAGTTGGAATGGAAACCACTAAATGAAACGATACCAGTTATGAGTATGAGCATAGATGGTTGATCAGATGATGATTGCAGCTGAAGAACCCAGCAACCTTAGGCACGTTGGCGAAGATCACTCAGTTGTGGTGCTAAACACTGAAAAGTATAGTCAGTAGTAAGTGCCGACGAATAGGGTTTGGTATAACTCAGTTGTTTAGGACATAACTCTTGGTTTTGTACACAAGGAATTGCTGGTGCAGACATATCTCTATCTATCCATCCTAATCACACGCAGATCACGAGTGAGAACGTATAGCTAGCTAACTCTTATCATAGCTGTGAAGCTAGAGTACCGATTGCATATATAGCTATGCTCATTTTCTAAAACCAATGTTTATAAAGTACTGAGCTACATCCTCGGCTAGAAGAAAGGGCAGAGACAAACCTGATTTGTTGGCAATCTCCAGCTAGTTGCAAACGACATCTCTTCCCCAATTGATAACTTATAAATATTGAATTTATAAACCTGCACACAGCCAACGATTTTTCACTTCCCGGCGAAATTGGCGTCACTTGTTTAGTCCTACGTACAACCTGACAGCAAATTGAGGTCCCCTTAAACAGGTTCCTCATTTTTACAGCTCCTGACTCAGGTCTACTCCACTGACTCATGATTATAGTTAGATTACTTAACTTTCGCTGGTACGCAATGGGTAATTTGCTGCACCTGCAGAGCAATAGATAATTTTATGCACCTATGCATAGCTTTTGTAGATCTGGTCTCACTCTAATTACCTGAGTGTTCCCCCCACGTTAAAACCATCTGGACGCAAGACAATATTACAATATAGATACCTTCCAGATATGAATGTGTACCCAGGAATAAGTTACCTGTGTATGTGATCCTCATACTTCCCTCTCTTCTCATCTTCCTCATTTAAAACAGTTTTTAGTCGTTGGAATAAACTGTGTTTCTCCTCTTTCAGAGAGTTCAACTTTTGTTGCAGAGCAGAGATCTGAACAAAACATAGGAGCTAAAACAAGAGAAGGTTAAGCCTTGAATTATACATTCAGCTGATCTTATAAATAGTGTATATACAGAATCCTAACGACAATCGTTAGACTAGAACTATTGTGTGAAAGTATAAAAACGCTACACCAGCCTTAAAATGAAGGCCATACACTACACACATTGAACACTTCGAAACCATTTTAAAGGAGTATGGCAGAGATAGCTTTCTTCACTGGGGTACCTCAGCTTAATTAATCCATGCACTTCACATCTGTTATCACACCTAAAAGACAGGAAGAAGGAGGAAGAGTAGGGGAAGAACTCTGCATTTAACCCTACACACCAGAGGAAGAAGGGCTCACAAACAGCAATTTACCTATTAGGGTTAATTAATGACTCATTGGTAATTGGCTATGTTGTCCCTAAGCATAAAAGCGAGGGCTTCCCCGTAATTGTGTTCTGATTACTCAAGTGGCTTGAACTAAGCTAAAATAGCATTGTCTTCATCTGGGCATACTGATTGGATAGATTCAGATGAAAAAGAGCCATCCCAATTAAAGAAGAAACCATTAATGAAGAGTTATTTAACGTCCCTTCCTCTACGACGTTCTTGTCACACAGGGAGACGGCCATTTTTGTGTCCCACAAAACAGAGTGACAAGCTCAAAGCGGCCTCCTGCTGTAATATGACTTTTGGCACACAGAAGAGCCGGAGGTGCTTGACAGTGTTTTGTAATTTGAATCAGACAAAGTAATACAGCAGTGAAATCTCTTCCTTGACTGGTTTACGCCAATAGTGGAAAAAAGCACCAAGCTGTTTTGCAAGTTTACGCAGCACAAGAAATTTTCACCTATTGACGGCAGTTTTAATTTACAGTGAGACTTTCAAGCAAAGAACGAAACGGCCGAGGATGATCACATGATGATAACAGAACATAGATACATAGCACACACTCCAACCATAGGAGCAGTTGACTGTTCCAAACAAACATTTGAAGTTTACTTCTGTCTTGGGCTAGATGGAACACTGGATGTTGTGGTACATAATTCCTCTGCGCACCCTCAGGTACTTCAGGGTGTTTAGCATCACGTGGAGGAATGTCTGCAGCCTCATGATCTTTTAAACCCCAGAAGATGCAGCAGCTGGATTGGTCAGTTGATGATGTTGAGTTTCGGCCCTCTGTCTGGTGCCTACCCTAACATTTCCATCAGCTATATATTCACAGACCCTAGGAATATTTTCCAGCACCACAGACCCAACACTGATACGAGCATACCCAGGTATGTAGCAACAACGTGATTTTAGTAGCTTCAGAAGACCTAGTACACCTTCGCAAGAAGTCTGTGAGCGTCTTGCTCAGGTCAGAACACCGTTTCAGTCATAGCTGTCTTTGTCAAAGACAACTTAGGGATTGAGTAAGCTGAGGACTAGAAATCCATTGCGTCAATGGCTCTTCCAAATCGTCTGTAAACATGTCATATTATGTGAGCAGCTGGGAATTCAAGGTCATCTCTACTACAGGTCAGCAAGTCATGATACTTAAACCTAGAATGTCCTACTATTTTCTTCAAACATTGTCTGAATCATCTTAATAGCCTTTCCAACCATGGCACTCACTTCAGATTGAACGTTCACTTAACACCCACTTTAGCTGAGCTGAGGACTCGTGTAGGTGCGATGATGTCAGTGGCTCTTCAAATGATCTGATGACACAAAAGTCAGTGGCAGGGAAGTCAAGGTCATCTGTGTCTTGCAAATAGAGGGGCCAGCATAAGTTAACTCTTGTGTGAGAAAATGGTCTGGCTTTATTTACACGGAAGGCAGGCAAAGGTGATGGAAGGTAAGGTTTGCTCAATATCGCCGGCGATCCTGATGAATGAAATTCTACTCGTGGCTTACCATGAGGACTAGTACCGTACGTTTGTGCTCTTTGCGCAGTAGAATTGGGTGCAATAGGAGGTGCATGTGAGTTTTGTAAAACAGCATGTACAGGAACAGTCCAAACTCATCATTCCAGTTTTGAATGTATTGGTCATAGAATCAGGTAGGACGACTGACCAAGATATGACTGATACGATGCCTAGGGACTGCTTACTAGGGTAGTAAGCGTTCCTTGCAATGCCCTGAGCGCAGTTACGCACCAGGGTGGGCCTCGCAGAGCTGTGCTACCTACCTCCAAGCCCATAGATACACTTCTGATACCAGTCTCTCCATTCGCTGTGCCTGAAAAGCGCCGTTTGTAGTACCGCATTTAAAAACTGTACTTTATGAGCAAAAAATGTTCTTTAAAGCACTTGCCTTTGATCCGCCCACGCAAAGTACAACAAACCAAGAGTATAATGAGAGAGAGAATCAATATCGCTGTACAGAGAATGTGATGTAATTTTGCTGAGCTCGAAACGCCACTAAACTAAAGTAAATCAGGATCACAAAGGTTTTGTATTCAAATAGGTTAAGCTTTGGAAGTACTCACAGTTGAGTGGGGGAATCCTACCTCGCCCAACAATCCCAGCAAGTATGAAAAGAATCGCAGCACTCATAACAAAGTCTGGCTACAACAGGGCATGCCACTTGCAGGTATACAGGAAGGAGGGGGTCGAACCCCATATTCTAGGCCTCATAACATGGCCAACCAATAGCCTGAAGGCTTAAGAGCACACTAGAGAAGGCGGCAATTGATACCTGGACCTTTCATTCATAATTATAGTTCTCACAATTTGTGAGTTACACTAACACATGTGTGCCGAATAGTAAAGTATTGCCCGAAGTACAGTAAAAAAACAAATATCTACAGTCTCTTCACTGCAGATATCTATGTTCGTACAAAAATTCATTCATACCCATACGTTATTACATTTTAAAGCCTTTGGTTTTGAAGAAGATCTTGATGAACCAATACATCTCCAAAAAAATTAGAATTAAAAAAATGTGGAATATAGGGATGCCATCAAAAGCTAGGACAGGGATGACCTAGTGAACGTGATGTATGATGCACAGCTATGCTGTATTTCATAAGCACATTAGACAGGTAATACCATCTACTCAGTTTTCAGTTGTGACTGAATTCTACATTTGCTCAACTAACCAGTTTTACAATGTTGCGTTCTTGCATTTACAGAATCCCTTCACCATTGTCCTCACACTTCACTAAACAAACAGTAAAGGTGGCGACAATATAGGGCTTGTGTGGAGGAAATTTTACAGGAGCAAGCGATGTAAGTTCAAAGTATGCAGCCATCATCCACTGTACTACTACATCACGTTCACTAGGTCATCCCTGTCTTGTCACCTTGCTTTTTATGGTATCCCAATATTCCAGACTTTTAAAATTTACTTGTCTCTTTTCCTTTTTTTACTGCATTGACATGCATGGTGCGCAATTTTGGGGCATAAAAAAGTAACATTAGTGGCCTTAAGCTATCTCCTCAGACGTCGAGATGATGATGTAAGTGATGAAATTGTGTGGCGCTGCCCGCAATGCAAGAGCATCCGAAAAGGCAGTGTTTTCAGAAAAACACATCTTCCCCTCCAAAGGTGGCTGCCCCTCGTTCATTACAAGGAATTTGCAGTAAAACATGCTGCTGATGATGTGGAAATCCATAAGAACAGAGCTTGCGATGTGTACCAATGGTCGAGGGAGGTCTGATACACAAAGCTGCTCCAAATATCAATAGTGCTTGGTGGAAGGGATGTCATTGTTCAAATAGATGAGTAGCTCTTCCAATGCATACATTATACAGCCTTAGTAATGAACAGTTCTACCTGCAGTATCACGCATCATAGCCATACATTATGATACATAGACCAATAAAGTGTGCTAACTAGTTAATTCAAACACCCAGAATGATAAAACTTTGTACATATATGCAACCCATCATTAGCATAAAAATGTAAACATTACAAGTTTGTAAAAAACCAAGCAGCCTCAGGCAATAAAAACTTGTAAACTATGATTTGCTTATAACTTGCTTATGCTGGGTCCTCTAACAATGAAACATGGTACACTATATGTACTCTGGGTGTAAAAGAAACATGTGAACAACGACAAACAGTTTTAGGTACATCTCAAACTGACATTGCTTGCTTGTTCATGTACATTTTCCTCCACACAAGCCCTATATTGCCGCAAAGCACAAGTGATCTCTCTCGTATAATGTGCAGCTATGACACATGAGACAGGTATTCCGCAGGTGTTGCCCAACCCGACCCCATCACTGTTGCCTGGTGTGCCACTCTTCACCGTTATTTGGACGGTGTTGGTTACTCAGAAAAAAGTCATTTTTCCACCCTGCTAGTACAATATTGTTGAAACCTGTATATTTTAAAGCTATAGGTCCTGACATACTGTTTTGGTGAATGTTTTATACTTCACCTAGCCAAAAAAGAGGGATTGTGTGATGGATGTTAACGCGCTTTCGTTAACCATACTTCATGTATCCCACTACTATCTTGCCTCCCTTTGTTTCTATACCATATTTTTTTAAATTCGACAGATTTTTTTATTTACCTGCCACACTGCTACGTATATCCCTGTGAAAGAGGGGGAAATTCCTGTTCTTATAACAGACGTGTGATTATCAATACGCGCTGCATACCAATTCACGCTACCGTTAGCAAACTTTAGGAATGAAGAATAAATTTGTTTGAGGCTATTTACAAACATGTAGTCGTCATGGAATGATGTAATCTACATGCATACCAAGTTTCTCCTCCATGCGTGCTACTGTTAGCAAGTTTAAGGAGTGAAGAAGAAAATTTCCTGAGGCTTGGAACACCCTAGATTGTTTGCTGAAAACTGTGTCATTATTAATTTTGTTTTTCATTCTTTGCTAGCTAGTCAATAGGACCGAATGGAGTGATTTCTATTTAAATAAGTACGTACTGTAGTACAGAACTGTCGATTACAAATCATGCAACAATGTACCAACATTATACCCCCCTATTTAGCAGCATTGGATCTGTACCTGGGCTTTAACGTTATCCAGTTGCTGTTCATGATTTCTGATACCGTCTTCTTTGGTCTTGATTGCACCATTTTGTGAACCGCCATTTCTTTCTCCACTATCTGAAAATTTAAACAATATATATATAGGGATAGCATATGACAAGACAGGAATGTATGGGATGTAGTATGTATAATACATACTCCAAACTGACATTGCTTACTCATGAAAATATTCCTCCTAACTTGATAAAAGTTTTACTCTATCAATCAATAATGTAATGAAGTTTAAGGATCATTGGTGAATAGAGGGCCAGGAATGACAAATAGTAATATACTGTTTCAGGGAGTCTTACTCTGCACACAACTCCACACAAGGGGAGGACAACCTGTGCTTTTCCTTCCTGGAATTATGTAGGTCATAGCTGCACATAATACAAAGGAGCACATTGCGACAAAAAGGGTTTATGCAGAGGAAATTTCCATGAGCAAGCAATGTCAGTTTGAAGTACTGTATGTAGCCATCAGCATAACATACACTAGGTCATATACTTCTCTTGTCTCTTAACCTTTTTATTTACTTATCTCCTTCCTCCATTAATGTGTCAGTACATAAGGTCTAATTTTAGCCCTTATACTGCCACATTGCCTTTAAAATGCATCAAAAATGGGATATTATAGACCATAATGACCACATAAAAAGTAGCATTAGTGGGCTTATGTTTTTATTGCCTCAGACTGCTTGTCATCTTTTGCAGGTTTCATAGTACATCAGTGTACCAAGAGAGGACACAACATATCACAAAGTACAGTAGTACTTGACACATATTACCTGCATTATGCCCATACTATATTTCAGATTCGTACATTTCACTTTCAGTTTCAAACAGATCCCACTTCTGAAAAATCTGTCAGATCCAATTGTGCTAACAAATGGCTTATATCACATAATCGGTAAATGAATTACTCGAGAAAGTTATTTTTCAAAATTCTTCTTGTTGTTTTGTTTCGACAGGTGTATCTCAAAACCAGGTAAGATATATGGAGATGAAGCCTTGCACAAAGATTGGAATCCATGATCCAGTGTGCAAGAGAATTGTAAACATTGTTGTTTACATGAAAACACCAAAAAACAGCTGAACGCCATATTATATTAAGATAATAGACTAATAAAGTGTGCTAGTTAAGGCCAATACCCAGAATAATAAACTTTTCATACGCAACAGTACAAGTAAACTAAAAGTCCTGCCAATTTAAAAAAGAGGCATATAGGGATAGTATAAAAAAGAAAGGGAGATAAGATTGGGATGACGCATGGTTAATGAACAGATTTGAGCACGCTGACACCCCCGACACCATCACACAATCCCTATATTGCCCGGTGTGCCACTCGTAAACTTTATGTGGACTCTTGGTTACTCAGGGCTTTGCTATGCGTTGTTACGTACTCCTACTGCTAGTCCAACAATTCCTTTAAAAAATATTTTAATATGTGTTATACACCATTTCAGCGTACCCATGGATTTTTGAGGCAAAAAGATAAGTTTGAAGGTTGAAAAAAATCCAGTAGCATGATAATTATTTTTGGTATATTCAAGCCATAAGTCCTGACTAGTGTGTAATGTTGAATGTATAATACTTCGCCTAGGAAACAATTGTGTGATGGGGTCGGGTTCACTTGATTTATCACGGTAATAGAATATCAAAAAAGAAACTAAAAGTGTGTAAAAAAAATAATAAGAAAAGGTTTGTGCCTCTAACTAGCTTATTCTCTAAACAATAAAACTTGGTACACCGATATATCGTGACAAGAGTTCATTGAAACAGAAATTACAAGTAAGTAAATAAACAGCCGTAAGCAATAAAAACGCATGTGGGTTCTCTCTAACAATGAAACTTTGAACACTGATTTACCATGATAAGAGTTCATCGAAACAGAAAAAGTTGTAAACAACAACAAACAGCCACAAGCAATAAAAATGGTGTGTTGCCTATAACCTGCTTATGCTGCGTCCTCTAACAATGAAACTTGGTACACTTTCGTACTTTGGTGGTGAAAGAAACATGTGAAAAACGACAGTTTTAGACAATAAACACACAGGCCCTTAAATGCTACTTTTTGTATGGGCATTATGCCACCAAAATTATAATGCATTTGAATGCAGTAATAAAAGGAAAGGAGACAATTAAAAATTCTAAAAATGGTGAATATAGGGACGGTATATTAAAGGCAAGCAGACAAGACGGGAATGACGTAGTGTATGTGATGCAGTAGTGTACAACGGATGATGGCTACATAAACTGACATAGCTTGCTCATGTAAAAGCCCTGTGTGCTCCTAATAGAATGACTCATTTCCTACGCAAAATGTACAGGTGTTGCCCACTCTGACAGCTCCTCATTCTGGGGTTGTGATAGCATTGTGTGCAGTCTAAGATTTCATTGCACTCAACTAACCAGGTTTACAATGCTGTATCCTTTGCCCAGCAGAGAAACACTTCACCATTGACACACTTCACACCATAAAAATTTAATTCATGTTGTGAGAAAAGTGGCGACAATATATGGCTTGTGTGGAGGAAAATGTACATGACAAAACAAGGTTTCCGTTGGTTGGCAGTTTCAAAAAGTTTTATGTGAAATATATACATCTAATGGATAGATATGAAGGCCTATATATTGGACGACCATCCTCGTACAGACACGTAACCACACGGCGACGTCGTTTGTAAATTCTGACTGGCCCTACATTTCTTTAGTGGAAGGATCTGACTGGGCTTTGCTTCCTGTTGGCCTGCGTTGTAAACTGCTTGCTCTTGGTCTCTCTCTGTCATTCCGTTTCTGTGCTGTCGTCGATATTGAGGTGTTGATTTTACTACTCCATGGCCAGTACCACTGTGAGAAAGGCTTGGGTGAGTGGGGAGAGTTCACCGGTGATAAAAGACATCCCTTGTTCTCAAGGCCGGGGCACCCATCTATGCCTATAGGTCTTGCTAACTAATTGTACTGCCCTACACTTTTGTTTTACCTCATATAATGTTATTATTGTGCTGCTGTGTTCCTATGGATTATTTTTGTAACCTTTTATACCTCTTAGATGGTATATTTTATATATCGCAGAATATTTTTGATACCATTTGATAACCGCCTGTACCGTCTGTTGTAGTAATTTCACCACCTTCGTGCATCAGCTCGCGTGTTTTGCTAGTCCCAAGTAAGCCCTTATGGATAATGTATGTTAATTGTAGCCCTTTTGAAGTCCTGTTTTCTTTCTCTTTTTCTTTCTTTCTTTTTATGTACATAGCGTGAGCTGTTCAGTTTTCATGAGCGAGCAATGTCAGTTTGAAATAGGTAGCCATCATCCATTGTACTACTGCATCACATACACGAGGTCATCCCTGTCTTGTCTCATACCATACCTATTGTTACCATTGGTTGTACAAGTTACAGGCTCAACAGATTTTAATTACCCGATGCAGTTTGCTGATGTTTACAAATTTGGTAATTTCTAAAACTTTATCATGGTACATCAATGTACCAAGTTGCAGACCCAGCCTAAGCAAGTTATAGGCACAAACACAATTTAAAAGCAATAGGCTATTTGTTGTTGCTTACAGACTTGTGATTCTGTTTTAACGAACCTTCATCATAAACGAACCAGGAAAAGCAAGTACCATTTACTACTTTTCACTTGCTGTGGGGCGGTTTTTGTTGTTCAGAAACTTGCAACGTTTACTTTCGATAGGTTGGTATTGGCATAGCACACACCATTGGTCTGTATCATAATTAAGGCTATTTTTGTTTCTATTTGCGGTTTACTCGTACCCGAGGAAGGTTTTTAAGAATGAGTTGGATATTATAGCTAGGCAGAGCAAGGTGTGGAGTAAGGTCTTTGCTATGTAATTGGGGTTAGACAAGGAGGAGCAGTCTCAGAGAATTCAGAGAAAGCACATTCAAGGAATTCTTGAGTGTTGTAGGAGAAAGCATTTCAGAGAGAGGCAGTAGGAAATTTGAGGAAAGGTTAAATAGCAAGGTTGAGCTAAACTGTACAGAGAGTTTGGATTCAAGAAGTCTCTTTATGGGGTGTGTGATGCTGCTTCTAGGTTACTGTTTAAATTTTGGTCAGGCATGCATGGACTAAATGAAGAACTACAAGTAGACACAGCAACAGGGATGGTAAAAAGGAGTGTGCGTTTTATGTGGTGATGAGTATGGGAGTGTAAATCATGTCTTGTGGGAGTGTCTGATATAAGTTAGTAGTAGTAGGAGTAAAACTTTAAAAACCTAAGAGAGCCTTGGGGAAAGTTACAAGGATTTTGAAGGATTAGACCATCAGGGTAAATTATCCTTTTTGCTTGGAAGTGAGTCGTGGGATAAGAATTTGAATTTTTACTTGCTACTGTCCTTAGTTAAAGATTATGTATCTGGGAGTCTAGGAAGCTTCAGTTATACGGCGATAAAAACGTGCACTAGTCAATCCCAGTCCCAGTCAGGTTTCAGCTGGGGTTACAGGAGCAGGGAGGTAAGCCTGATTCTGGTCTATTAATCTGTCTGCATGTACAATGCCTATGTAAATGGTTGCGAGGCCAATGACATTAGTGCTATGGAAGGTTTGATTAATCACTAAGTACGGTAGTACTTAGTATATACGGATGACACCGGTTGTCCTGCATTATGCCCATACATTTGAGATTTTCATGTTTCACTTTCTATTTCAATCACATCCAACTTTTGACACATCAGACTAATTTGTATCGTCACAAAGAGCATGTATCCAAGAAATAGCTTAAATCGCATAATCGGTACTTGATTTACTCAAAAAGTCACTTTTCAATCTTCTCTTGTTGTTGTTGTTGTTGTTCAGTTTAGACTCAAAAACCAGGTAAGATATGGAGATCAAACTTTTCACAAAGATTGGAATCCATGACATGTCGTGCAAGAGCATTTTTATTTCTTCGTAAACAATTTGTTTTACATGTAAACAACAACTTTTCAATCTTCTCTTGTTGTTGTTGTTGTTGTTCAGTTTAGACTCAAAAACCAGGTAAGATATGGAGATCAAACTTTTCACAAAGATTGGAATCCATGACATGTCGTGCAAGAGCATTTTTATTTCTTCGTAAACAATTTGTTTTACATGTAAACAACAACAAATAGCCTCAGGCAATAAAGTGCTGTTTTTCCTATAACTTTGTACACTTATATACTTGGGAAGTGAAATAAAAATGTGGATGACGACTAACAGTCCGAGGCAATAAATACATGTTACTTTTTATATGGACATTATGCCCCAATGCATGTGCATGCCGTAAAAAAAGGAAAGGAGACAAGTAAATAAAACATTCTGCGAATTAAAAGTGCGGAATATAGGGATGCCATAAAAAGCAAGGAGACAAGACAGGGATGACCTGGACATGTGATGCAGTAGTACAATGGGATGATTGTTACATCTTCAAACTGACATTTTTTTGCTCATGTAAATTTTACCCCACACAAGCCCTATATTGTCACAAAGCACGAGTGATCTCTATCGTATGATGTGCAGCTATGATTCACGTAAGACTGGTAGCAAATGCCCTCTCTGACAGGTCCTCAGTTTTGAATCGTGACTGTCTTTACTTCAATGTTCGCTCAACTAACCGGTTTTACAATGCTGCTTTCTCTACAGAATTCGTTTGCCAGTTTTCACACTACACTATTCAAAACTCATGTCATGAGTAAGAGTGGCGACAATATAGGGCTTGTGTGGAGTACAATTTACATGAGCAAGAAATGTCAGTTTGAAGATGTAACAATCATCCCATTGTACTACTGCATCACATGCCCAGGTCATCCCTGTCTTGTCTCCTTCCTTTTTATGGCATCCCTATATTCCACACTTTTAATTCGCAGAATATTTTTATTTATATTCGTAAGCAAAGGGCGGGGCCACGTATGTAAAGTTGAAGCTGTAAGACAAACTATTTTCTCAATCCTTTGTAGCATGTGTAGCAAGTTTTCTTGTAGCAGAATTTGGTGAATACCATGTTTGCATAAATCCCCTCTCGGACGCTCAACATGGGATATTTAGTTAATCCCCCCTTTCACTGTTTCACTATAAATCTCAACCGTTACATCGACTCACGCCATGGACATTTAGTAAATCCCCATTCCCCACCCTTACGCATCACTTCATCTAGGAGTTTATCCCAACCCTTTCGTCTTCTTCTACAGTGGACATTTACTAAATCCCCACCTTATGAGTGTCACTCACGCCTACCCTCCGTCAGTGGAGGGTTGTAGCCACATCCCCCCACCCCCCCAGCATTAGCCCCATTCCCAGTCCGTTATTTGCGGGGTTCCAAAACAAAAACAGCTGGGAACGAGCAACCTTACATGCACCCCAGCATCCCCACGCCCCGGTGTGCGCATTATGCGCTCCCCAGAGAGCTGTGAGCCCAGCATCATTACCAAAATGAAAGGGCCTGGTAATGACGTCTCGAGCGCACCATGGCGTGGGGATGCTGGGGTGCCCAGCCCATTTCACCACTTCACTATTTTAATCCCAACCTTCGCATCGATTCACGCCATGGACATACTATTAACCCTTGTCTCCTACCCGTGGAGATTTAGTATCAGTAAATCCCCACCATTATGCGTCGCTTCATCCTTGAGTTTTATAACTCCCAACTCTTTGGATGGGATGAGGCTACCTTCGAAATTCCGTTATGTCCCTCGCACGTAGTATTATTCTGGCCCAAAGTACTACTGCACTTGGTTATCTTACCCGCAGTTCGCTCGCGGCTCTTCAGTATATGAGACAGCAGAGCTTCTCTCCGTGTGCTCGAAAGTGGGTTCACCGTCTCAGTGTCTTTAAGACACTTACCACCACTTCCTTCTGTGCCGGTACGACCGTATGTTTCCATCTACCAACAACCGCGTCTACGTGGTCCGTCGACCCGAATATTAATAGCCACACCTTCTCGGAAGCAAAAGTTGCGAGCCAGCCATAAAACTACTAGTGGGTAAAATTGCTGACCAATATCTCTCGCTGCATGGCAGCGGGACCCACCATGGATGACCATCTGCAAAGGACCTTCTGGGTGTAGGGGTCCTGAACTTCGATGGAGAAGACGACCCGTTGCACCAGTGGGGCAGATCGACTAACTGCCAGCTCTCTCCAAGAAGCTAATAGCGAGACCAACGGGGAAAGGCGGGGAAAGGCAGGCCCAGGCCTCAATCACTGGGAAGGCCAGATTCGAGCCAGATTGTCGTGGTCCAGGCAGCGGAGCTCATGCTGACCAAACCGCATGGGTCCAGTGTTTTGCGATCCACGCTGCGACACTATATAGCAACCGCACGAATACGCGCGACTACCAAACCATAATAGTAAAGGCCAGTCAGTGCCAAAGATTCCTTAGCTGGGTAGTGTGTGACCAATATTTTCATTAATTAACTGCTGAAAATGGAAGCCTGTTCCTCAGACAGAAACAAAGCTCTCCCAGCGTATTTGTGCCCGGTGGTAACACCGCTGAAGCTTGAAGCATGGCGCAAGGCCCTGAGCGATTATCCAGACCAGAGATTTGCTGGATCATCCCTGGGGTCGAACAGGGTTTTAGGATCGGCTACAATCCCCACCTTGTTAAAAGAGCTACTTTACCGGTCGCACCTTCTAGCCGGTATGCGCCTTATGAGAATAGCCATTTTGTACGGGGAGAGTTTGCTGTAGACCACCTGCAAACACCACCTGAAACGAGGTGTCTGAAAAAATAAACCTCCCGCAATTCTGTAATCTGATTGGTCAATTGCGCGTGACTGCGGTCTAAGTACGGGGATTGACATGATGATAGGCAGTTTTGTTCATCTTCTTCTTCTTCCTGTTCGACTAGCGTAACTCAAAAACCGAAAGAGATAAAGCCATGAAATTTTGTAGGAATGTACATATCGATAACCACATGTGCAACGTCATACATTTTGTTTGTAAACAACTAAAAATGTGCCCTTGGCAATACATTATAATAGATATACATGTGTTAGTGTAATTCACATTAATTGTAAGAGCTATGTGAATGAAACTTTGTATACATAATGTATTCGATACCCAACATCAAAAACACAACAATACATATTTATAAACAACAACAAATAGCCTCAGCCACTTTTCTTTAAATTTACTTCTTCACGTCTCAAACTCCTTAATGGTAGGACGCATCGGGATGAAACTTGGTACGTATGCCTATTATATCATTACCATGACAACTACATGTTTCCATGACGACCGCATACTGTTTGAAGAAACCTCAGACGATTATCTTTATAATTACTTCTTCACTCCTCAAACTTGCTAACTGTAGCATGTATGGAGGTGAAACTTGACACATACGTATTAAACTGTTTCCATGACAACCACAACGCAAAGTAGCCTCAGGCACTTTACTTTAAATTTGCTTCTTCACTCCTCTAACTCGCTAACGGTACCACGCATGGAGATAAAACTTGGTGCGCATGTGTATTACACTGTTTCCATGACGACCACAACAACAAATAGCCTCAGGCACTTTTCTTTTAAAATTACTTCTTCACTCTTCAAAATTTGCTAACTGTAGCACGCATGGAGGTGAAACTTGGTACGCATGTGTATTACATCGTTTCCATGACGACCACAACAACAAATAGCCTCAGGCACTTTTCTTTTAAAATTACTTCTTCACTCCTCAAAATTTGCTAACTGTAACAGGTGAAACTTGGTACACATGTGTATTACATCGTTTCCATGACAACCACAACAACAAATTGCCTGAGGCACTTTTCTTCAAAATTACTTCTTCACTCCTCAAACTCGCTAACCGTACCACGCATGGAGATGAAACTTGGTACGCATGTGTGTAACATGGTTCATGGTTTCCATGATGACCACAACAACAAATAGCCTCAGGCACTTTTCTTTAAAATTACTTCTTCACTCCTCCAACTTGCTAACGGCAGCACACATGGAGGTGAAACATGGTATGCATATCATTTCCATCACGACAGGCATTTTTTCTCTATTATTAATTTTTATAGGGGCTTGCCCCCTTCCACAGAGATAATACGTAGTAGTATAATTATAAAAATGAGTGGGACAAGTAAATTAAAAATCCTGCGAATTTAAAAAAAAGAGGCATATAGGGATGGTATAAAAAGAAAGGGAGACAAGATAGGGATTGGATACATGAAGCATGGTTAATGAACAGATTTGAGTACGCTGACACCCCCAACCCCATCACACCATCCCTATATTGTTGCCTAGGTGAAGTATTAAACATTCACCATTACAATACTCAGAACTTACAATGCACTACTGAGTAACCAACACCCTTATAGAGTCCAAGTGGAGTTTAATTAAAGGGAATGTGGCAGTATAAATGTTACTAAAAACAACAAGGACACGGTGAAAGAATGCTTGCTTTTAGTAACCTTTAAGAGTAGCACACCAGGCAACAATATAGGGATGGTGTGATGGGGTTGGGGGTGTCAGCGTACTCAAATCTGTTCATTAACCATGCTTCATGTATCCAATCCCTATCTTGTCTCCCTTTCTTTTTCTACCATCCCTATATGCCTCTTTTTTAAAATTCGCAGGATTTTTAATTTACTTGTTTTCATAGGGGTCTTGCCCCCTTCCACAGAGATAATACATAGTAGTATATAAAAATTAGTGGAGACAAGTAAATTAAAAATCCTGTGAATTTAAAAAAGGGCATATAGGGATGGTATAAAAGGAAAGGGAGACAAGATACGGATGGGATATACATGAAGCATGGTTAATGAACACATTTGAGCAAGCTGACACCCCCAACCCCATCACACAATCCTTATAATTATTGTTGCCTAGGTGAAGTATTAAACATTCACCATTACAATACTCAGAACTTATAATACAAAAAGTCATGCAACTGAGTAACCAACACCGTTAGAGAGTCCAAGTGCAGTTTAATTAAAGAGACTGTGGCAAGAGTAAGAGTCACACTGACACTCTTCAATAAGAGTACGTAGCACACCAGGCAACAATATAGGGATTGTGTGATGGGGTTGGGGGTATCAGCTTTCACATGATTTTTATATAATAGGCATACTTACCAAGTTTCATCTCTATGTGTGCTACCATTGGAGAGTTTGAGGAGATTATTTGATTATACTGCGCGTTAATAGACGGCCCGAGGAGCCCTGAGCTGTAGCTGTCTGAGTGCAGCGAAGACGCAACTAAGGGCTCCGAGGCCGTCTAAATTGTGTATTTCCATTGACAAGCAATATATCCTATTTATACGGTGGCCGTGCTGGCCGTCAGGTCGTCCGTGTCCGTCGTCCGCTCTCGCTGGGTGACGCTAAAAAGGTCTTCATCTCAGTTTCTTTTTGCATCGTAGAGAGGCCTTTCATCGAAGAAGCATTGGATACAGCAAGCTTGAAGTCGTCGCGGCTTGCCACACCCCCATCAAAGATGGCGGGCGTCTCCGTGGAAACACACACTTGGAAAATACGGGATTTAGAATCCACGTTTTACGCCATGTGATTGGACAATTTGAATCTGCCGACATCTAAAAGCAAGAAAACAAGACAGGGATGACCTAGTGTATGTGATGCAGTAGTACAATGGATGGCAGCTCCTTGTCTCAAACTTACTTGTGTACATTTTCCTCCATATAAGCCCTATATTTTCACCAACATGAGTTTGTTGTAGTGTAAAGTGTGAGGAAAATGGTGAAGGGGATTCTCTAAAGGGCTGGGAACACCAGGAGCATTGAAAACTGGTTAGTTGAGCAAGTATAGACTGCACACAATGTAACTGTAAGTAAGGGGGAAATGGCATGTATCTATACACATCTTGTCTCATGTGCTTATGAGGGAACACACCCATGCTTCATGAATATATAGGGCTTTTGTGGAGGAAAATGTACATGAACAGACAATTATGGAGTCATCATCCATTGCGCTACTGCATCAGATACACTAGGTCATTCCTGTCTTGTGTGTGCCCTTGCTTGCCATTCCTTTTGAAAAATTTTTGTCACCTATGCACATACCTTGCCATATCGCTGTCCACAGATGTAGTCTCCATCATACCTATCCCCATTGGGCAATAAAGCTTTTCCTTGTCCATGTCTTTCTCCAGCTTCATTACGACCACCTTCATATGACTAGCAAAACGTGTTTTGACAAAATGGCCAATGTTTTACTGACAATTACTTACCCCAAGATTGGGACCCTGGTCCTCCATGTCTTCTGAGCCTAAGTCTGACATTTTAGTTCCTACACTTCCAAAGAACCGTGAACACAGGGCCACCGAGTGTTATGCGGTAACCATAGAGACTGTGCGCATGCGCCCGCGGAAAATACAGAGTGCGTCTTTTTACCGCGCGCGCCCCACTCACTCTTAACTACAACACCACAGCTCGAGGTAAATCAACTACACCCAGAGGACAGGTAGCTACCGTAGGTGGAATTCTAGGAGCGCTACATAATTAGGCTCTGAATATCTCGCGTATTCTCTCGCTTGCCCTCTAAAATGAACGGCCTCAGTCAGGTCGCCCATTACCGGATGATTCTTGCTTGCTGTTTCTGTACCAGGCTAGCTATAACCTACATTTCTCATGATCATGTGTGCCGGCGACATGATGACTTGAACTTCGTACGGTTAGAGGTCCAGATCGCGAGGGTAATAGGGTGGCAGATGAATCAATTATCTGATGCAGCTTTGGAGGTGGAGCAGCCGAGCGACATAGTGACAGCATCAATTTGCAATGGTTGCTCCTCTACTGAGCAAGAACCTGACCACGAGGATTCTCCTCGGATGAGCCCACACTCCATTAATTAGAAAAAGCAAACGTCAAAGGTGGGAGCAACTTCTAAGCAGTTTGGCAGAATGCAGTGCTATGCCCCCTAGCTACTGCATTGTGTATGAATTAGTGCTGCTGAGCTGAGATGCCAAGAGTGTGGTCCTGCTGTTTTCTACTGTCGTTCTTTGAAGCATGAATCACTTCCATGTTGCAGAGAAATAGGTATTCCAAGCTTCGGCACTTTTCTCATCGATTTGCCAGTATGTTACTGCTGAGATTCATCTACGGCGTATGATTGTTCTACCAACTCACTTTTGTGATACAATCCGAACAGTAACGCTTATTTGCCTAGATGAGCATGGTACATGTACATATAGGTGGGTAAAACTGCATTTTGTGTTCGTAGGTGTGGAGCATTCTTATTCATTTTACCTGCTGTTCGTGTGAACCTCTGGCTGTAACACTATATAGTTCAGGCGCAAGTTACTGCACAATACCCGAAGTATGCATATTCGTTGAAGTTGCTTGACCTGGCACAGATTTTGTTGGTCAAATGCTAAGTCTAAGTGGCACTGAAGGATTTGAAAAGCATCATTATATTTTATGTCATTACTCCATTACCTCTGGTTGAAAGGCATGATTTGCATGTTAACTGCAGCGAAGAGATGTTTACACCACTCTGATTAATGCCTTTGAAGAGTACAGGTATACTAAAAAAATTCTTCGAGTGCAATATAAGGATAGAAAGGGGACAAGACAGGGGGACCAAGTGCATGTGATGCAGTAGTACGATGGATGATGGATGATGCATCTTCAAACATACATTTCTTGCTCGTGTAAGGTTCCTCCACACACCCCCTATATTGTCGCCGCTTTTACTCGCAACACCATAGTGATTTTCTGCGAGGCCCAAGAATGCAGCATGGTTAGTTGAGCAAACATGGAAGTCATAGACAGCACACAACGTAGTCACAACCATTAACCGAGGAGCTGTCAGAGAGGGCAACACCTGTGCATTACTTGCTTAGGAATTCTATGACCAACTTACTCATGACGACAATGATAGGGCTGTTGTGGAGGAAAATTTACACGAGCAAGAAATATAAGTTTGAAGATGTAACCACCATCCATCGTACTACTGCATCACATGCACTAGCATCATCCCTGTGTTGTCGTCTCCTTCCTTTTTACACTTGTTTAATTCGAAGAAAAAATATTTGATGACGTTCTGGGGATAGCATTTACAGAAAAACAGAATAACGACCTAGGTAATATCGCTCTTGGGAAAACTAAGCGAGGTAATGGTGAAGTAATGGCAATGAGATGGTAGCAAATACTTTTTCTTAAAACACGAGATAATCCCTCCCTTGAGTGGCAATGAACAGAAAATGGAGATTTACTTGCTGACTCAGCAAATATCCGCATGATCATGTCCGACCCCTCTGCTTCCAATCAGAGGGAAAACAGGTGTGGAAGATTGGGGGAGGGGCATTCTCGTATTGTTCGTTTGCTCTTTCTTCAATGCGTTTTCTGACTTTGTACATTCATTCCAAACGTCTGACTCTCTCTATCCTCTGCATGAAGAGCTGTGATAAAGGCTGGAACCTTCTACTTCTTGTTCAGGCTAGGTACATGGCAGTATAAGTTAAAGCTGTCTTCAAACAGAAACTGGGCCCAAAACTTGCAGATTAAGCTCTCGTTTCCTTGTCATCACACTTTTGATAGAGTACAGTATAGTATGGGAGCATTCTGGAGATTGAATATCTTGTGAGAGACTATGTCTGCAAAAGTGACTTTGTGCATAAATGCTGCTTCCTTTGATAAAATCAATAGACATGTCCCTAAGTCCGTTCATAGCATTGGGGATTCTACTTCGGAAAGTCTGAAATCTGCTATAGTAAGGGATTTCTTCTGGTTTGGTTCAACACATAGTCACTTTTTGTGATGGTGTGTAAGACTCTTAGCTGGTTAAAGCAATCGTTTAGAGAGATATGGAAAGATATGGACCTATGACTGCATGAAGGTCCATCATATCTCTAGAGTTGAGTACTTTCCCACAGATTCTGTGACTTTAGTTGTGCAACCTGCACAGTTGTGCCATGCCAACTAGACTGTTGCACAGTAAACTCTTGCATAACTGTGAATAAAGTCTTGATTATCTACTGACACCACACTGAATGAATTTTCTGGATGGGCACAAAGTACCCCACTCTGTCCTTGTTTTTCTACCCTTTGCAATGTATTGAATTATCAGCACTATAAACACTATGACTCAAGAATTTGCATTTCGAAGAATGTTGTAATAGTCATAGTCATAGGACTAGCTATTTTATAAAAGCAACAGTGCCATGTTATAATCCTACTAGTTGTTATAATACTGATGAAAGATAGGTTCACGTTTAAGAATTTCCATTTTCATTGTACACATGAATCAGCAAATGAGGGAACCTTGATGTGAAGTAAAAAACAAACTCGTTAGGAATATCTCCAAGTGATGTTTTCAGTTGAAGAGGTAGCTCACTGTAGTGGTGTTTCTACAGGAAAGGCAACAAAAACTTGTTATATTACTAGCCGAACTTCGTGTGTTGTAGTTTTAACGCTTTGTTAAATGTAGTGTTACCTGCTCAGTCGTGCATCAATTAGTTTGCTTGGCTAGGCAGCTTATCCGAGTGTATAGAAGGCCATGACCTCTTTACATAAAACGCCACATGCAATGGTCCTCAGGCTTTTAATGAAACATCTGTAGTATAGTGGAGATACAGCATATTTCTCCCAGCAAGGTGAATGTGAACGCACTTGATTAAGCAATGGACTTTTTAACACTTATCCAGCCACGGACACATAAATGCGCCCAGAGCCTCCATAAGGCCATAAGAATTTATATGGGGGTTATAATACTAAGCGCTAATACTTCCTACATAAAATTCTGCTTATTTAAGGAGATACCCATGGCGCCCAAAGGGTTTTAAGTGTGGTATGTGTTACATGCAATTTGCCTACACACAGATCGAACTGATTGAAATACTTGTAAAGCAACAATGCCCTTAAATTATTACTGAACTTTGTGATTGCCAGATAATCAAACCTTGTTTGTCGTAGTGCTCTTAGTAACTCCCTTACACAACCTCCATTGTATGATCTGAATCGTTTTAAATCTGTAACAACGGAATTAGCTTAGGTATTATCACTGTAGTTTCATTTTCTTACCTATTTCGAATGATCGTGCAGACACCCATTGCAGCTTATGCTATCTGCAGTGCTTTGCATTATGCATGCGCACAAAGGATAATTATATTTCGTTTTGTTCTGGCTATGTTGGTTCTCTAACAAAGACAGCCCAGCAGAATCAGTGAGTAGCATTTGAAGCAAAGCAGGAGAGGATAATTGCCCATTGAGTAACTTAATGTGGTTAAATGAGCAAAAGACTAGTCGAGGTATATATAAGTCATTATTCATTAGCAATTGGCTTTTCTCTTGTTAAAACTCTTAAGTGCAGTGGTTTAGGAAATAATATGATCACAAACAAAGTAGTGTAACTCTTGCTGGCTGTGCATTAGTGCTGAATGTTGAAATATAGGTTCAAAGACTTGCCAAGGAGCACGTGGCCATCTAGTATTCTTTATTGCCTCCTACAAACATTTGTGGGGTACGCAATATCTTGGGTCGTATTCTCAGTTTCATGCTTTTATTATCAAGAGCAAACTAAAGTGGTAAACAACTGTATGAACTAATACAGCAAAACCATTGCTTTTTCTTATAAAATAGCATTTAAAGGAGTAGAAAAGGGACAGTGTTTCCAGAATCATCCTTAAAACATATCTTCATAGTTGTTAACTTAAAATGACATCGAACATACCTGTCCTCAAATCGTCTGTTATTTTGTTTTTCCAATCACTTCCTATCACAAGCTTCGCTCGTGATTCTATACACTGCAGAACACGTGATGAAACTGGTTCTTTTTCAAGTCGATCACTGACATCCAAAAAAAAATTAAGCTGCTTTCCTTCATTCCAAAATACGCAGTGACTTAGAACTTCATTACTTGATGGCCTAGAATAAAAGTCATAAACTCACAATATACCCCTAATTTTATACCCCATGTCTTCGTAAGTACTGAAGGTGCTGTCCTACAAGTAAAACATCTAAAGCGCACAAACTCTGTTGTTCAAGATGAACAATCGCACTGTAGTAGGCTAAAAATATACATAAAAAAACAAATTAGAGAGAGTCTACCACGTGCAAAACCAGAAGAGCCAAGTTTGACCGTCGCTCAAAATGGCACTGTAATGCTATAGTGTGTGAGCTAGATAATATAGAGTGTATGTATTGCTGGGACAATTTGTTCTTGTTTGGAGCTGCTGTTGATTAGTTATTCAAGCACTATGGTTCAAAACTGTCACTCGACATGGCACTCTATATAGTGGTAGCCAGAGAAGCTTTATCTCTAGTAGCAAGTGTATGTATTGCCGGGCAGTTTTGTTGGTTATTTAAGTGTTATTTGGAGCACTCTCGTTTGAGAAATCTGCTGACTGTTGTTCGAAACATCACTCTATGTAAGGTTATGAGTGAGAGCCAGAGAAGCTTTTTCCTGGAGCGAGTGTTCACATGCCAGCAGCAAGTGTGTCTGGTGCCATTCTTTTGCAACGTTGGTTTGGTGAACGACTTTGGGCACATTTAAAGGAATCAAGAACATACAAGACCAACTAACTGTCATGCAGATACCCTCCGAAGAGGTTATAAGAGGGGGGTTTCCTAGCAAACGCTGTGGTACTATGGTAGTTATTTAGAGTTTTGTGTTTTGCCTTCTAACTCAGAGGAGGTAGGACATGGTTGCAGGCATGTAAGACCAAATAGACCTTTTCGTTTATGCCGCTAGTAAGCAAGCGCATTGCCGTGACATCCTAATTAATTGTCTGTTTATATCCGGAGTACATTCTTTTACGTTGGCACAGGGGCGTGTATGTATGGCAGTCTATGCACATTTTTGCCGCAGCCACAGTATTATACTTCTATAGCGGTATCTGTCGAAAAGTTGAACAGAAGCATTTGTCCTCCTAGTGGAGCCAGGATTGTAGCACCACAAAAGCAAAGCCAACTAGTTTTTCACTTCACGTGGAGCAATAGAGACAGCCACAGCCAACTTCAGAAGGCAAGGGTCATGTGTCAAGTAAGTAGGTTCACCCCAGAGAACATTGATGAACGTTTTGTGCCCTTTTGTGAGCGCTATGCCAAGATACTCTTACAACAACCTTTTTCACCGCCTATTTCTTCCCTTTCTCCTTACACTTGCTGCTAAGCGTCACAATATCTTTACCAGATGCTTTCCTGGGGTGGCTAACCTACCTTCACTCATGGCTCCTGGCTTTAACCGTCGCTGTCCTCCTCTACCATGAGTTAAAGCTAGCAGACTTTGCGTGACCATATCTTAGGCGTCGAACACGCTACAACAATCGAACAACTTGGACGACGAAGTCATAGTGACTTTTCAGCAGATACTGCTATAAAGTATACACGGTAGCGTATTGCGCTGCACGCTGTGCAAAAATGTGCATTATCCTATAGGCTGCCATACATTACGCCCCTGCCAACATGAAGGAATGTACTCCTGTGGTGACGTCAATAGCAATTATGCGTAATTGCATATTTCAGCCTCCTAAATGAAAAGGGCTATTTGCCACAACATTCCTTGTCTGGTGCAAACCACATTTAAAGTAGGACCCACAAATTTTAAATGTTTAAGTACAAGAATTACATTAACACATTGTGGGGATAAAATGCCAATGACACATTAATTAATGTGTCGGTAAATATCCCTCTAAAAATACACGTTAAAAACAGACAGAATGCAGTTGTTTGTAGTTGGGTTCTGAGCAAAGTAGTTGCTTTTGCGTGCAGGAAGTTTCAACTACATGCACGGCAGTGCACATTTTTGCGTGGTTACATAGACACCGTATACCCATAGCAATAATGTGTGCATGTGCATGGCGTTACCATTCTACCATTCACAGGTTAAGTGTTAAGTCAATACACAGCACTAGGAAACTTGCTAGACAAACTGTTATGGCCTCACCGAAAAATCAGCTATTCCTCAAAGTCATAATAATAATAATACTCAGGTGGCTGCCATAGCACTAGGGCCATAGACCACGCACCCAGAGCAATGGGCGGAACCGTTAACACACGAACATACACCATATGAACATGAGGTGTCAGTCTCACCTCCCAGACACCTCAACTCACCCCTTCCACCAGCGACACCCTGCAGCTCCCCAGACGCAATCTGAGACTGGGTTTGTTGTACACAGGGACTATCGCCGTATAACCTAACCTTTCTTAGCTCCCAAACATCCAAAATAAAATCTTTAACATAATTCCATGTAAAAAATCAGCAAATATATTGGCTATTCACTTTACAGAACGGGGTGACAGAAACACAAGATAGCAGAAGAGAAGAAGTGCAAAACATGAGAAGCCAGGCCAACCAAAATATATGCTGTACTGCTAACCATCCATGCCAACTGTCATGTACTTTTGTGTGTTTCTGCTGTGTAATGACCTTTTGTTTCTTCATTTTTGGTACTTCTATAAAAAGGGAAAGCACTAGAAGCTAGCATTTGTAGTGACAGTTGGGTATACGTACATAGGCAGGACACTAAAACACTAAAGGTCCAGCACAGTAAAGGTATGTAATAGGCTGCTGACTCCTGAAGAAAGGGGCACTATAGACTTACACAGATGACATACATTCCGTGTTATTGTCTTGGGTTTTAGCATCACTATACACGTTTCGATTTCATGGGCAGACTTTAGTAATCAGACTACAATTTTAGATATGTGCTAGCAGGAACACACAATGGAATATTGGCATATACACACGCTGCGAATTGTGCACTGACGATTATGGCTTATGCAGCTCCTATGCGCAACAGCTAGCCACGCACCAGACACAGACCCTTGCAAACTAACTGCCTGCACAAACCAACAGCAAAAAAACAGGTTGGTTAGTTGCACGTTTCCCCAAAATCTGTTTACTTTCTACTGTAAACGCACTGGCTACTGGAAATTCTGTCAACCTAGTGGAGGTTCTACAATGTCATCACCTGTGCCATAAAGGATGTGCAGCAATCGTTTTCACCACTGTACCCCTTTGACTTTCTAGCTCTGTATTGTCACCACCCTCTACACACAACATGACTTTGTAAAGCAATAGGGGCAAAAAATGCAGCATTGCAAAACTGTTTAGTTCAGCGAACATCTGCCTCATGTGCAGTCATAGTTGCACATTACATTAGGGAGCACATTCATGCTTCTCGAGCTTGCGTGAAGGAAAGTTTACACAAGCAAGTACTGTCAGTTTAGTATTATGTGTAGCCATCATCCATTGGAATACACCATCACATGCAGTACGTTATCCTTGTCTTGTCTCCTTCCTTTTTATACCATTCTTAAGTTCTCCATTTTTAATTCATATTAATAGTAGTATTCCAGCCATGTAAGTAATTATTTGGCGACTACCTCCTAATTCTATTATGGCTGTGTCTTAACTATAAAAGGTTGAAAGGCGAACCTGAAATGGCAGTTGTTGCTGATCATCTTCTTTGTAAGGTCCACAGCTGCATACATTTCTGCATTTTTGAATTTTGCAGTTAGACAGTTAAGACAGGTGTAACACGCGCACCTAGTACTTGTTAAAGCACAGTTGCAAGTACAGTACGGGAATAATTTCCGTAGTATACATGTGTAAATGGTGCTTAAACTACTTTGTAGCACAACTAGGCGGCTGAAGTCTCACATACTGATCGCTCTCCAGGTTACAGCAGCTGCAGCTATAAGCGCATAAACACTGTTAGACTTTAAAATTCAAGTATAAGCAAGGAAGGCCGACCATGGGGACCATTCTGCACGCAGAATTCGTAAGTGTGCACTAATTACAGATTACAGAGCACCACGTTTCCCCCACACCCTGCCGTGTAGGTAGTGGAGACGGAGGTAGTCTGGTGCATCTAGAGAGCTTATTTATTTCGAGTGCTTACCTTGTCGTGTAGGCGTGAAAATTCATTGTTTAGAGCTAAGTTGCCAATCTGATTGGTCCATGCACAGACTCTAATTCGTGTAGAGTCCGGACTCTAATTCTCGCGCATGCACAGTGCTACACGTACTGGGCGGAGTCTCCTGCGGTGTGGGAAGGTGCTGGTTGAGATGACTTCCCAGCGACACAGCAGCAATTGCTAGCCAATTCATCTGCAAAGAATTCAGTGCCTCCAAGTGTACGGATTTTTCCATATTTTTTCGGAAATCGCACTCCATATACGGGAAATATATCGAAATAATACGGAAGACAAGAGTGCTCAAGAAGGTGTGGCAAGTATTGTGACAAAAGGGCAGGTGCGGGTAAGTACGGATAAAGCCACGCAAAATAAGGGGGAAATTGCCGCTGGATACGGATGACGTTAGAGTTAACTTGGAGGCTATGCGAATTTGAATTGCACGTACGTGTTGCCATAGCTCTAGACACCTCGTCACGGAAACGTGCATTAGAGTGCTTTGCGGGCCCCGCGGCTCTCTAGTGCGCGTAGTTTCCTGGGCTCAGCATCTAACCTATAGCAGAAAAATGTAGAACGGTTGTTGCAATATGGCATTTATGGTGCTGTCGGCGCCTTTGATATGCCCACGCATCGTGCTACAACTAACAGTTAGTAACTTTTGGTTTATGCTTATAACCCTCGGCGTGCCTCTGAGCAGAAAACTTAAGAAATTAACCCATTAAGCGAATGCGCAGAAATGCATGCATCAATTGTAATGGCTATGCGCAGGCGCGTAAAAACACGTGTTTTTAGCAAACAAGAAGGCGAACGTTGTAGCCGGGAAGTCTACACTCTGTGAGACTATGAAAAGGTACACAGCGTGAGGAGGGGCTCAGTTCTGCAAAAGCAAGCTGAACTAGCTTGTACCGAGCGTATAGCGGTGGAAATAGGCAGCTGCTTTCTCGTGAGAAGGCGGGGAGAGATCGTGCACAGCAAGTGGGTGTGTACCCGGGGGCAAGGTTGTGTTGTTCTGTAAGCTGTACTGGAAACGCCAAATATCAAGTGTACAATTGTGAATGCCCACGCATGGCTCCTATGCAGTAAGACCAAAAAACGTATGAACAATACTAATGTATGTGAAGCCGTCCAATATCCCACACACTCTCACAGCACAGTCAGTCAGTGTAGGAAGTAGGGCCTGGTTGCATATGTTATACATGTGGTACGGCTCAGAAAGTATTATATTTTGGCAGTTATACACTGAGCTTAAATAGGATGATGGGTGGGAGCTAGTGGTTATCCATGACATGACCAACTGACATGGATTTTGATAACAATGGGTGTGAATGTTTATGCTCTGCTACACTCACCCCTCCTTTTTTAGAAGTCTTGCGTAGCTTCGTAGCAGCTGTAGAAGCGACCTGTTGAACCGTTCTACCATCCCATCTCCTT